CCCCACACATCCATGTGAAGCGTCTGCAGGGGAGCCTCTGTCGGGGGGAAGTGGGAGGAGTGAGGAGTAGCCCGGAGGCGACCCTCGACACAGGGGACACAGGAAGGTCCTGGCCCGGAGGGGAGAGGAGGGAGAGACTGGGGAAGACCAGAGACAAGGACACGGGAAGCCATGCTCCGAAGACGGGGCAAGGAGGGGTGGCCAAGACGGTGGTGCCACAGGAGAGTCTCGTGAGACAGGAGGCGACAAGAACAGGGGGCAGACTCAGGACCTGACCGGGACGCAGCAGCAAGTACCTGACCCGACGCAGCCACCTGACCAGACGCAGGGACAGGAGGAGACTCAACGGTCAGGGTGTAGAGACTCGACCCCGGCCGACGTGAGAACGTGGCCAGGTGTCGGCCTGTGCGAGCCTCCGTGCAGTGGGTCACCCTCTGACGCGCAGGAGTGAACTGGTGAACACCCCCATCCTGCAGGTCCGCTCCACTCACCAAGTTCGTAGAGAACGAGGGAAGGTACAGACCCGACAGGGTGCCCGAAGGGGCAGCCGGACACGGGAGGACAGTGGAGAAGTGAGACAGGACAGGACCCCCAGAGGGGTCAGCAAGGGAGACCGCAACCGGCCTGGCGAGCGGCGAAAGGGTAGTGCGGTCTCGAAAGAAGGAGCGAGAAGCTCCGGAGTCAAGTGTGAAAGTGAGGGAGGACGAGGACGACTCAGTACCTGAGAGCGCAGTCTCACCAGTACCTGAGAGCGCAGACGCACTGGCACCTAGAGCAGCAGCCTCACAAGCACCTAGCGCAGCAGTACCAATGCCCGGGTCGGGCTGAAAACACCGGTAACCCTCATTCTCCTCACTATAATCCACAACATACATAGCAGTAAGGATAGCATCAAAATCAAGATCAAAGATCGCTACACCAGCCCTGAGAAGCTCATCCCAGCGAGGGATCTCACTAGCCCCAGGGAGCTGCTGACGCCAAGCGTCCGTCAGGCGGCCAAAGCAGCGCTGGGTGGCGTGGGCACCCCCACACTGCTCACCCGCGCGGTCGCCGGAACGAAGAACGTAGGTGCAGGGACCAGTACCCCCACCCCTCTGACGCCCAGCGTACCACTCACGAAGCTGCTGAGGCGAAGGGATGTCCCGCGAGCGCTGCTGCTGCTGCCGGTGCGAGCGCTGGCCACCACCACCGCCGCTACGCTGCTGGGTACCACCCCGACGAGCTCCACCTCCTCCACCACTACTGCCTCTTCCGCTGCCGCCTCCACTGCCTCCACCTCCGCCGCCTCCACCTCCGCCGCTGCCTCCACCACCACCGCTGGCACCACCACCACCGTCTCCGCCGCTGCTGCCGCCACCACCACCACCACCCCCGCCACTAGCCCCGCCGCCACCCCCACTCCCTCCGCCGCCACCGCCGCCACCGCCACCGCCCCCTCCAGCTCCACCCGCGCCCTTGCCCCCCTTGCCCTTGCTGGAGCGACGTCTCCCACTAGGGGCAGACGCCGCGCCGACCGACTCAAGACCAAGCAGGTCGGCAGCAGCAGCACAGGCAACAGAGGGCAGCAAGGGGGAAGGAGAGCACCCCTCAAAGATGGGGGTGCGAGGGTCACCACGAGAAGCACCTACAGCGACTATGCTCTTCTCCGCTGCAAGGAGGGCCTTCTCGAGGAGGTCGACGGTGAGAGTGGTGGGACAGACTGCGAGAAAGTGGTCCCTGACGACGCGAAGGGAGTCAGGGAGGCGTGCGACTACGTAGTAGAGAGCGATGTACATGGGGGGGGGGTTCTTAGCGCAGAACTCAGCAGGAAGGGCGGCGCGGTAGCGAGTGTCACTAGTGCGGAGGTGCGTAATGAGGTCAGCGACAGTGGGAAAGGCAGAGAGGTCAGGAAAGAGGTAGGGAAGCATGAGACGGCTCAGTGCAGCAGTGGCAGGGGAGGAGTAGCGCGCAACTACAGCGTCGTACAAGGTCTGAGCACTCTTGTACTGACTAAAGTGCGCACGCTCAGAGGTAGGGAGGTGGCGACGCACAGCAAGACGTGCAGCAGCATCGCGGGTGGCCCACTTAGAGCGGACAGCGGGATCAGCATCAGCAGCAGGGGCAGGAGAGGCGCCAGAGGTGAGGTCAAAGAGAGAAAGGTCGTCAGCCCTGTCGCACTGTAAGAACAGCTGCAGGTCGTCTAACCAGACCTCAAAATCAATGGCGCGACCCTCAGCGTCAAAAGCTAGGACACTAGGGGTAGCCATGGTGACGACAGCGACGCAGTGCAAGCAGTGGGGAAAGAGCTCGCAGTGTCAGTGGGACAGTGCTCACCAGGCAGGGCAGGTCGTGCAGTCAGCAGAAAGGCGGCTCAGCGACCGGGCGGCTCGGGTGCACAGCTGCTCGGCTCCCGGGCGGCTCGGCGGCTGGGCGGCTCGGGCGCAGGGCGGCTCGGCTCCCGGGCGGCTCGGCGGCTGGGCAGCTAGGGTGCAGGGCGGCTCGGCTCCCGGGCGGCTCGGCGGCTGGGCGGCTCGGGTGCAGGGCGGCTCGGCTCCCGGGCGGCTCGGCGGCAGGGCGGCTCGGGTCCCGGGCGGCTCGGCTGCTGGGGCGGCTCGGCCGGGAGATGCAGCGTCGGGCCGGCAGGTGCAGCGTCGGGCCGGCAGGTGCAGCGGCGGGCCGGCAGGTGCAAGTGGCGGGCCGTAAGAGGCGGCGGGCCGATGGGTGCAGCGGCGGGCCGGTAGGTGCAGCGGCGGGCCGGCAGGAGCAGCGGCGGGCCGGCAGGGTGCAGCGGCGGGCCGGCAGGAGCAGCGACGGGCCGGCAGGGTGCAGCGGCGGGCCGTAGAGTGCAGCGGCGGGGCCGTCGGCAGCAGAGGCGGGGCCGCGTCAGAGGAGGCGGCGTGGCCGCGTCAGGGGAGGCGGCGGGGCCGCGTCAATGGAGGCGGCGGGGCCGCGTCAGGGGAGGCGGCGGAGTCGCGTCAGGGGAGGCGGCGGGGCCTCGTCAGGGGAGGCGGCGGGGCCGCGTCAGGGGAGGCGGCGGGGCCGCGTCAAGGGAGGCGGCGGGGCCGCGTCAAGGGAGGCGGCAGGGCCGCGTCAGGGGAGGCGGCGGGGCCGCGTCAGGGGAGGCGGCGAGGCCGCGTCAAGGGAGGCGGCGGGGCAGCGTCAAGGGAGGCGGCGGGGCCGCGTTAAAAGAGGCGGCGGGGCCGCGTCAAGGGAGGCGGCTGGGCCGCGTCAGGGGAGGCGGCAAAGCCGCGTCAGAGGAGGCGGCGGGGCCGCGAGTGAAAAGGCGACCCGAGGGGTCGCTAAAAGAAAGGCGCGCCTCGGGGCGCGCGTCGGTGGGCCCAAACAACGGTCCTAAGGTAGGACCCGCTCTATACCATGTGAAAATAGGAAAACAGGAATGAATGAACTATGAATGAAAGCAGTACAAATATGAAACCCTAACTGGGTTGTACCCCCTATGGGATACCCCACTACAGCCTACACAGCAGTATAAGCTATAGATATGTTCTGACACGTACCGAGCTGGTAGCACAATCGCGGGAACATCAAACGAAGAAGTGGGTGTACACCCTGTTTCTCGACCCTCTCACCTTGCGCGATTCGCTGCTACAGTGCGGTCAGGTGCCATAAACCGTATGGCTGAAACCTGCGGGCAAAGCCGCACCAGCTGACGGAGTGGTACTGGGGGCAAAATTTTTCTTTATCGCTGTATACCCTTTTCAACCGCTTTGAAACGCTTGTTTAATGTTCTTTACCATGCAGCATCCTAGCTAACCGCTTTCTTGTGAATGTGCTTGTACCGTCGGTGATAAGACCATTTCAAACGTGGTGACGTTCTACAACCAGTGCATGTTCTGCAACCAGATGCTCTGCTAGCGCGAAACAGGGTGTACAGTATGGGTAGCCTTGCCCACTAGGTTTGACGTGGCGGCGATTCCTATCAACTCCTGACTCCTCGCTTGAAATTCTCACCAGGTACACTCTGTTGTTCCATTCTGTTGCGCGCCTCGCTTCACACAGAAATCTCTCAGGTTTCCAGGTGATTCACAGCTGAACGAATCAGAATTGTTGCCAAGCCGCTGGTCCTGGCTCGACTGAACCACTGATCAACTCTCACATTCGTTGTTTTTGGACACGGTACAGCGCCTTGACGAGTGGTTGTTGTGTTGTGTGGTTGGTGAGCTGGGTTGACAGGACTAGCATAGAGACACATCGAGCCGCAGAGAGACACTCAGGTGGCCCTTTCAGGCGGGTGTCACAGTTGAAACTTGCTGAGGGCGTGTTACATTTGTACTTCAGCCCGTCCGGACGAGCAGTCGTCCGAACTTTTTAGCGGCTACCATTGTCGTTTACCTTCGTCAGTTTCCTCGTTAGACCACTTACGATGTCGTTAACGAACGGACCGATGATGGAACATTTTGCGTGAATTGCCTTCCCAACTCGACCGGACAGTTACAGTTCGATAAGTGGACGGACGTAACAGTAAAGCAATTTTATTGGTCTACGATTCGAGTCTTTCAGTCGCTTGAGTGCTACTTTTGTCGCAATCTCGTCTTGATCATGGTTACAACCTAGCGAACACTCTGAGGTTGAAAATGTTTCATAAACAACGTCGGACGAGGTTTAGTCTGGACGTTGGACCCGGACTGGCCGAGATTCGGAATCTGAACCGTTCTCAGATGGTTGTCCGGATTTTAGCCGCTTTTAGAAAATGTAACACGCCCTAAAGATCAGTACTTGTACGCGTTAGATCACTATTCGCTAAAATGAACCAACATAGAATGCAGAGGCATGCCCCATACTAGCACATCACTTACAAGTAACTCCGTCCTCTTCACCCACACCATGCATCTTAACTAATGCAGCAGTACCCTATCATATGTTACAAGTTACAACCTGTCGTCAATCATTATGTTAACCTGTCCCACACATCATACATGCTGCAGCATGCACCATGAGTGCCACAATTCACGCTACCTTGGACCCCTTCCTTGTGAGATTACCCAACTTCTCTAGTCCAATCAACCTTTCCTTGACCTCTGGTGGTTCTTTGCCTTCTGCTTCTGTCCCCCTTTCTTCACATCCTTCTTCTTTCCTTTCTTCTCCTTACTCTGCTTATTCCTCTTGCCCTTCCCACTCAAGACGACACCTGATGCAGCACCTGAACCCGCAGAAGCCTTCTGCTGCAACTTCTTCAACTGAGCAGCACCCTGGATAGCTCCCTTGACTCCGGTAACAGGTTTCATAACCCCTCCTCTTGCCAACCCCCCACCGCCTGACTTCCCCTTCCTCCCCAGCTCCACCCCTTTCTTACTTGCTGCATTCACCGCATTCCTCACTGCATCTAACTGTTTTCCTGCCTTAGATACCACCTCCCCCACCAACCCCCCCACCAGTGGAGCCTTCACAGTCCCACTGCCACTGCTGCTGCTGCTGCCTCCTGTTCCCCCAGTGGCGCTAGGGGTTTTGGGAGTAGAGCTAGATTCAGGTGTGGTGTGTACCGGGTCAGCACCAGCTCCACCTGCGTTTCCACCTGAAGAATCACCTGCAGCGCCGCCTGCTCCAGTCCCAGCATTCCCACCCGATCCTGAACCTGGCTGCTTGGGTTTCTTCGCATTGCGCTCCGTTATAAGCTTCTTCATTCCTGCTGTAACCTCTCCAATCTTCTTAGCTGCACCTTGGGCTGCATTGCTGACTGAGCTGCTCGCACCCCCAAGAGCCTTTCCAATCGACCCTGGGACAGGAGGGATGACAGGAAGGATCTTCTTGGCAGGAGGGTGGTCTAGAGATGGTGGCGGTTTGTCTGCTCCTTTCCCTTGGCCTTTTCCTTCCCCCCCAACTCCCCCTCCCCCTCCTGTTCCGCCTTGTCCTCCCTCTCCCACACCAACTGTGTTCCCCCCTTCCGCTTCGTCCGTCGTACCACTCGTGTCAGTTTCATCTCCTCCCGTACCGTCAGCAGCACGATCACCACCCTCAGTTTCATCTCCACTCGTTTCATCCCCCGTTCCCTCTTCCCCACCATCCCCGCTGGTTTCATCTCCCGTTTCATCTCCCGTCCCATCTCCACTCGTTTCATCTCCAGATGTCCCACCAGACGTGCCCCCTGTAGCCCCTCCACCGGTTGCATCTTTAGGAGGGGTGGTTACATCTTGAGGTGGAGTCGTTACAACTGGTGGGGGAGTCGTACTGCCACTGCCGCAGCCCTTCTCATCGCTCCCGTCCCTGCAATCCGCCTTGCCGTTACACTTGAGCGTTTCATCTATGCACTGCACCCCATCGGAACACTTCCAGTACCCCTCTGAACACTCGTACACCGAGCAGTAATCCTGATCTTCGTCCGGAACGACCGTCCCTCCCCCTTCGGCCGCCACCGCACCGCAGTTTGCCACGCCGTCGCATACCATACCTGTCACGCAGGCTTGTTTTCCGGGGCAGAGCACTTGCTTCGGAGTCAACGGGCAGTCGGAGGTACTCTTGAGGTCGACACAGAAGCCCGGCCACTCGTCAGCGCCGTACGGGCAGTCAGCCGTGCCGTCGCATGCTGCTGCAGGGTCGAAGCACCAGGGAGCATTTGCGATGGATGTGAGAGGGCAGGACGTCTGCAGACGGGAAGGTGTGAAGAGGAAAAGGGCAAGAGAGGAGAGGATGAGTGCCGTCATACGGTGCTGCGGGGTCGAAGCACCAGGGAGCACTGGCGATGGATGTGAGCGGACAAGGCATCTGGAAAAAAGAAAAAGAAAGGAGAAGGGAAGGAACGCTTGAGGTCGATACAAAAGCCCGGCCACTCGTCAGCGCCGTACGGGCAGTCAGCCGTGCCGTCGCATGCTGCTGCAGGGTCAAAGCACCAAGGGCCGTTGGCGATGTTTATAAGCGGACAGGGCATCTGTACAAGGGAAGGAGAAAAGAATAGGAGGGGGGGGGGATAAGATGATTTTAAAACTGCTCACACTCACACCCACTCACTTGCGCTCCCTCGCTACCTCCCCCCACACCTCGCCCCACCCTTCTTTCCTTCCCCTCCCACCCCCGCCCCCTCCCCGATTCACCCGCTGCCTTACCATCTCAGGCGGACAGCCGTCCTCGTATCCCCCGCATTCCCACGGCTGCTCGTCGCTCTCGTCGCCGCAATCCGCCGTGCCGTCGCACAGCTGGTCGCCGCTCACGCACTCATCGCCCGACGCGCAGTACCACTGGCGGAGGGGAAAACGGAGGTGGGGAGGGTGGGGAAAAAAGGGGAGGAGGGGGAGAGAGGGGGAGGAGGGAGCGGGGGATGGGGGGGAGGAGGGAGCGGGGGATGGGGGGGAGGAGGGAGCGGGGGATGGGGGGGAGGAGGGAGCGGAGGATGGGGGTGGGAAGCGGTCAGTCGCACAGTTGGTCGACGTTGCACCGCGGGCAGTAACATTGGCGGCGGAAAAAGGAGAAACGAATAAGGGGAGCGGTGAGGAAGAGACTAAGAAGCGGAGAAGTGCACCCTGCTTTCGTGCGACTGCGCGAGAGAGAGGCGGAGGCTTGGCGGAGGAGGGGGAAGGAAGGGAATGGCGGAGCGCGCACCATGTTTTGATCCGAGTCGCAAGTGATGGCGAGGGACAGGTGAGCGAAGGACGAGAGCAGCAGCAGCGCGAGGAGCGGCGTGACAACCGGCGCTCGACGCGCAGCAGACACGCGCCTCGGTGCTGGATTACTGCTTCTACGGGCCATAGCGGCTCTCGAGGCGCCGCAAATGCCGACGCGAGCTGGGATACGGAAATGGGCGTTGGCTTGATCGGAATGATAAGAAAGAGTGCATATAATAGCGGCTCTCGACTGTGCGCAAATGCAAAACAATGTGATTGAGCTGAGCTGGAGAGGGATTATTGGATGGGAAAGTGGATGGTCGTTCTATCGTTAGCGAGAGACTAGTACTACACCCCGTACTACTCGCATTGCATGCGTAAAGCTCAGTGTCTAGTGAAAAGGGAATCAGGGATTGCCGAAAAGCTTTCACGCTGCATTGCATCGAAACAAGGCACCAGGAGACGGAGCAAGGAGAAAGGTACGGACGGAGGAAGGGGTTTCCGTGCCTGTCCCATCCAGGATCAGTGTGGTTCGGGAATAGGGAATTTGCACTGATAACATGCTACTAGCGAGGATGAGGATGAGCACAATCAGAAAGAGCTTCGCTGGCCCAGTAGGTGATGAGAAGAGCGGAGGGGATGCTGCAGTAACGACGAGCGGTGAGCAACATTTGTTTGCCCCTACCAATGTTCGATTGGTGGTTTGCAGTTTTGCCTGCGACTGGTGGAAGTTTGGCGGAGGAACATCGGAGCAAACACCTGACCGTGTTGTTGGCGGCAATTTGGCTGAGTCGAAAAATGCGATCCAGCCAATGGCGTGCTGCCAGACTGGTTTGGAAGTTGATCACTCGCGACTCCAATGTGTACACAGCAGTTTTGCGGCTCGGCTTCTGTGGAGTTTTGTGGAACTGTACACACACTCGCAGATATGGCAGACAGAGTGGATACACACTTACCTGACGTGGCAACCTGGGGTGCACTGTTTGCGAACCGCAGGGCAGGTCTCAGGAAATTCGCGTTGCGAATAAGCTCCGACTGTATCGAAGCTTGAGCATTCTAGCCAAGGTGCAATGTGGCCGTGTAGCATCTAAAAATTTCCCTACATCCTTAACAAAATTTATTACTGTATTAGCAATCTCAAGCGATTAGTCTGCTTTGTGAGGAGAAGCAGACGCCTTGTTGGAATCTTGGGACTTGGATCCTCCGCCCTTCTTGCGCATCTTGGCTTTGATGGTAAGCTTAGTGGCCACAGTAGCTACAGTGTTGGTGAAGTTACCAACTGCCATAACTATAAGGAGAATGCCACATGCAAAAAGCTGACAAGCAGAGGGGAGGGAAAGAGATGAAGGAAAAAAGAAAGCGTGAATCTGATATCTTTGGGTGAGGAGTGGGTCGGTTGAGAAATGGGTTAGGCACAAGGCTTAGAAGTTGGTAAAGCCGTCCTTCCAGGGTAGAATGTAGGCAAAGCACCTCCAGTTCTGCATGTCATTCCATTTCGCTCTTCCTAATAGTGAACTCGTATGACCACATTTTCCTTCCAAACCTTCCCCTTCATTCCCCCCCTCCCTCTCTCCCCCAACCTTCCAACCCACCAACTCACTGCATTTACCCACACGACCCCACTTCCCTCCCCATACCACCTTCCCTCCTTCGCTGAAGCACCATCAGCAGCCATACCTGCCACTCGAACATTTCGTAGAGTGATGTGCGGAGCAGGCGCACCCCGATATAGAGCTGGAAGAACTGCAGAGGACGAATGAGAGAGCGGGAGGGAGAGAGGCACGTGGGAGGGATTGCAATGCGGTAAGGTGCGGTTGAGAGGCGCACGCAGAGGCAGCCCTTCAAAGAAAAAGAATGAGAGTGTGAGGAACAAATGCAAAGCGGCTCACCTGATTCAAAGAAAAGGGAGAGAGGGAGGGGGGGAACATAGATCTCTAACGGAAAACACATGCACAGCGGCTCACCTGGAGAATGAAGAGCAGCGGGTAGAGCAGCACGAGCTGATTCTTAGAAAAGGGAGAGAAGGGGTGGGGGGGAAGAGGAAACCTAGAGCTCTAGGAGAAAACAACGGCACAGCGGCTCACCTGGAGAATGAAGAGCAGCGGGTAGAGCAGCACGAGCTGCCCCTTCATGCCGGCTGTCTCCCCCCACACCACATCCATCTGCCCTGCCTGTTGCCATGTGCCATACACCATGCACACATACACCCATGCAAAAAAGCACCATGCACACATACACCCATGCAAAAAAGCACCATGCACACATACACCCATGCAAAAAAGCACCATGCACACATACACCCATGCAAAAAAGCACCATGCACACATACACCCATGCACCATACACCCATGCACCATGCACCATACACCCATGCACCATGCACCATACACCATACACCATACACCATGCACCATGCACCCATGCACCATACACCATACACCATACACCATACACCATACACCATACACCATACACCATACACCATACACCATACACCATACACCATACACCATACACCATATGCCATACACCATGCACCATACAGCCATGCAGACATGCACCATACAGCCATACATGCACGCAAACAGCAAACAAAGCAGGGTGAGTAAGAAAACAAGCAGCAAAGACTGATACAATGGTGAAGGCACTGCATCGAGAAACAAGAACACCTATAGCACCAATAGCACCTAGAGCACCTATAGCTCTACCCATATTCCCCTGTGCAATCCCCTCCTTCCCCACCAATCGCCCACTCACCTTTCCCACCACCTTGCCTCACTCACCTTCCCCAATGCTATTCTGGTGTAGAGGCGGCGGCGCTGGTAGCGGTTCTGCAGCAGCATGGCAACGCCTTGGATGACCGCCCACATGAGGAAGAGCATGATACCTTGCTGCTCGGGGGGGAGGATGGAGATTGGAGGGGGGGCAGGTTGCTAAGGGAGTGAAAGGGCATTGAGAAGTGAGCGGTACTGCTCTGCAGCAGCATGGCAACCCCTTGGATGACAGCCCCTTGGATGACAGCCCACATGAGGAAGAGCATGATGCCTTGCTGATCATTGAGAGAGGAGAGGGGGGAGGGGGGGAAGGGAATGGAACAAGGTATGCTGTATGAAGCGGGCAACACAGGTAGGTTCTGCAGCAGCATGGCAACGCCTTGAATGACTGGCTACATGCGTGAGGCTCACCCCTCATGCTCAATTCTCATGCTCACCCTTCATGCTCACCCTTCATGCTCACCCTTCATGCTCACCCTTCATGCTCACCCTTCATGCTCACCCTTCATGCTCACCCTTCATGCTCACTATTCAACTATTTCGACCCCTCAGCACCACATGTCATCCCCCTCGCACCTGTTTCATTGCACAGTGAGGCCCCTCGATGCCCCATGTGAGGCCCCTCGATGCCCCATGTGAGGCCCCTCGATGCCCCATGTGAGGCCCCTCGATGCCCCATGTGAGGCCCCTCGATGCCCCATGTGAGGCCCCTCGATGCCCCATGTGAGGCCCCTCGATGCCCCATGTGAGGCCCCTCGATGCCCCATGTGAGGCCCCTCGATGCCCCATGTGAGGCCCCTCGATGCCCCATGTGAGGCCCCTCGATGCCCCATGTGAGGCCCCTCGATGCCCCATGTGAGGCCCCTCGATGCCCCATGTGAGGCCCCTCGATGCCCCATGTGAGGCCCCTCGATGCCCCATGTGAGGCTCAACTCTCATGCTCACCCTTCACCTTCACTTCTCAACTTCACCTCTCAACCCCTCAGCACCGCCTATCCGCCTCCCCTCACCTGTTTCATTGCACAGTCCGGCCCCTCAATGCCCCATGTGAGGCTCAGGAGGGCCATGAGCATGGCGTAGTAGTGGTGGTAGATCCACCTGGGGGGGGGGAGTGGGGGAGATGGGGGAGGGGATGAGGGTATAAGAGTGCAATGGGGACATACTCCACAACACGTGAGGCTCACGAGGGCCATGAGCATGGCGTAGTACTGGTGGTAGATCCACCTGGGGGAAGCAGCGATAGGGAATGGAATGCGCGGATTAGGTTGGCTCTAGACGTGCCATATGTGGCAGGCAATCACCACGTGAGGCTCACGAGGGCCATGAGCATGGCGTAGTACTGGTGGTAGATCCACCTGGGGGAACGATGGGAGAGGATGGGATGTGGGTGTAGGGGGGAGAGGTTGGTAAGAGCTGGCGCACCACCCATCAGGCTCACAAGTGCCATGAGCATGGGGTAGTACTGGTGGTAGATCCGCCTGGGGGAGGATGATGGGTGGTGGGGGAGGGGAAGGGGGAGCGGGGAATGTGGGGGCATGCAATTTGGATTCTTTACCTGCCCCACAACACGGGAGGCTCATGAGAGTCATGAGCATGGCGTAGTAGTGATGGTAGATTATTTGGGGGGAGAGTCGGAAAGGGAATGGTCGGTTGGGTTTGGTTGGATGGGCGTGGCCCACAACACATGAGGCATGAGGCATGAGGCATGAGGCATGAGGCATGAGGCATGAGGCACGAGGCATGAGGCATGAGGCATGAGGCATGAGGCATGAGGCATGAGGCATGAGGCACGAGGCATGAGGCATGAGGCATGAGGCATGAGGCACGAGGCATGAGGCATGAGGCATGAGGCATGAGGCACGAGGCATGAGGCATGAGGCATGAGGCACGAGGCATGAGGCATGAGGCATGAGGCACGAGGCATGAGGCATGAGGCATGAGGCACGAGGCATGAGGCATGAGGCATGAGGCATGAGCCATGAGCCATGAGCCATGAGTCATGAGTCATGAGGCATGAGCATGGAAGAGTAGTGATGGTGGTGCGGCAAGGGGGAACACATGTTCGATGAGCTCTTCTCACTCCCTGTCGAGTTTGCAAATAGTGCTCACGGGGGGCGTGCAGCACAAACAATGGGCGAGTGTGGCAAGGGTTTCCCATCCCCCTATTTTGATTCGACTCGTAACACTGTTCTCATTCTCACTCCCTGTCGAGTTTACGGATACTGCTCGTGGGGGACTCACTCCATGCAGCAGAAAAATATGGATTCGAGGTGCAGCAAGCGTAGGGTTCTCAAAAAGTGATTTCAATGTTCACGGATAGTGCTCATGGGGGACTCACTCCATGGAGCAGAAAAAGAAGGTGAGTGTGGGAAGAGTCTTCATCCCTGTAGGTGCCGCATATAATCCGCGTGTGATGAGTCGATTATTGAGTCGACTCAAAAATCGACTCATCACACGCGGATTAAAAAAGGTGAGTGAGGGACGAGTCTTCATCCCTGTAGGTGCCGCATCTCCTTCCCGCACTCACCCTCTTTTTTCGCTGCACACCCCTTGTGAGCATTATCCAAGAACCTATCTTTGAGCCTACTCACCAGGGGCGAATGTCGCTGCCATTGATGCGGAGCATGTTTTTCCGCAGAGCCAGGCTTGTCACTCTAGCTGACTTTTGAGTCGACTCCAAAGTCAGAGCCAGGCTTGTCACTCTAGCTTTCCACCCTTCCTTCCTACTCTTCCCCTCTCCTATTCACCTCCCCTCTTCCCTTTGCTTCTCCTCTCCCCTCCTTCTCCCCTCACCAGGGGCGGATGTCACTGCCATTGATGCGGAGGATGTTTTCCCGCAGAGCCAGGCTCGTGTAGAACAGCAGCAGCCACGCCTGGGGGAAGGGGAGGAGGGAAGTGGAAAGAAGGGAGGTGGAAGAATGGTGTAAGTGTGCGCACTGGACTGCCTTCTTGCAGAGCCAGGCTCGTGTAGAACAGCAGCAGCCACGCCTGGGGGAAGGGGAGGAGGGAAGTGGAAAGAAGGGAGGTGGAAGAATGGTGTAAGTGTGCGCACTGGACTGCCTTCTTGCAGAGCCAGGCTCGTGTAGAACAGCAGCAGCCACGCCTGGGGGAAGGGGAGGAGGGAAGTGGAAAGAAGGGAGGTGGAAGAATGGTGTAAGTGTGCGCACTGGACTGCCTTCTTGCAGAGCCAGGCTCGTGTAGAACAGCAGCAGCCACGCCTGGGGGAAGGGGAGGAGGGAAGTGGAAAGAAGGGAGGTGGAAGAATGGTGTAAGTGTGCGCACTGGACTGCCTTCTTGCAGAGCCAGGCTCGTGTAGAACAGCAGCAGCCACGCCTGGGGGACGGGGAGGAGGGAAGTGGAAAGAAGGGAGGTGGAAGAATGGTGTAAGTGTGCGCACTGGACTGCCTTCTTGCAGAGCCAGGCTCGTGTAGAACAGCAGCAGCCACGCCTGGGGGACGTTTGTGAGGCGCCTTGAGGTCGTTTTTGAGGCGCCTCAAAAACGCCTGGGGGACGAGCCCAGAGGGAGAGGGGGTCGGGTGGGGAATTGGGGAGAGGAGGAAATGGGGAATTGGCGAGAGGAGGAAATGGGGAATTGGGGAGAGGAGGAAATGGGGAATTGGGGAGAGGAGGAAATGGGGAATTGGGGAGAGGAGGAAATGGGGAATTGGGGAGAGGAGGAAATGGGGAATTGGGGAGTGGAGGAAATGGGGAATTGGGGAGAGGAGGAAATGGGGAATTGGGGAGAGGAGGAAATGGGGAATTGGGGAGAGGAGGAAATGGGGAATTGGGGAGAGGAGGAAATGGGGAATTGGCGAGAGGAGGAAATGGGGAATTGGGGAGAGTATTGGCACCACTCTGTTTCCCCGCAGAGACAGGGTCCTGTACAACAGCAGCAGTTACGCCAGGGGGCAAGGCCGTGGGGGAGGAGGGGATCGGGTGCGGGAATTGGAGGCGATAGGGGATATTGCCGGAATTGGAGGCGATAGGGGATATTGCCGGAATTGGAGGCGATAGGAGATATTGCCGGAATTGGAGGCGATAGGAGATATTGCCGGAATTGGAGGCGATAGGGGATATTGCCGGAATTGGAGGCGATAGGAGATATTGCCGGAATCAGGAACTAAAGTAACCCTCCCCCAACAGCACCCCCCCCGCCATCCCCCCCCCACCTGGTACACGTGCACCACGAGGCCTGGCAGGCACCGCTGGTTCATGGCCTGCTTTGCTGCCGGCAGTGGTGCTTCGACTCACCAGTGCCTGTACACGTCTCCCCCAGTAGCCCCAACCAACATAAACCCTCCCAAGTTGACCCCTCCCCCAGCAGCTCCCACCTGGTAGTACACGTGCACCACCGCTGGTTCATGGCCTGCTTCGCTGCTAGAAACAGTGACTTGACCCACCCACCCATCCTTACGTACACACTCTCCCCAAGTAGCCCCTCTCCAAGTTGTCCCCTCCCGCAGGACGCACCTGGTACACGTGCACCACAAGGCCTGGCAGGCAGCGCTGGTTCATGGCCTGCTTGGCTGCCAGCATCGGTGCACTGACCCACCAGTACTAGGGACATGTCTCCCCCAATAGCCCCTAACAACATAACGCCTCCCCAAGTTGCCCCCTCCCCACCCACCCACCTGGTACACGTGCACCACGAGGCCTGGCAGGCACCGCTGGTTCATGGCCTGCTTGGCTGCCAGCAGCAGCAGCGGCGCGCCGAGAAAGATGAGCGCCGTGCGATCCTGCCAGATGCAAAGCGGGGGTAGAAGACGAAAAGGGGGAGAGCAGGAGAAGGGAGAGAACGGGAGAAGGGGAACAGGAGAGGGGGGAGAAAGAAGACAAGGAAAAACAGAAGAGGTGGGAGGGGGGAGAGCAGGGGCGAAACGAGGCCTCCTAAACGAAGAGGCCACGCACCCTATGACTCATGTACTTCTAATGGACCTATAGTGAGGCATCTTATAACGAAGCAAGCAAGCACTCACCCTGTAGCTGTTGTACTCCTCCTTGACCTTGAACCTCACGTCCCTGCGAGACGAGCGCACGTTCACATGCCCCAGGAACAGCCACAGGAAGAATCCTGGTAGGGGGGGGTTGGTGGGGAGGAAGGGAGTAGGCATGGGCATGGGCATGGGCATGGGGGTTGGGCACGGGCATCGATGGGAATGGGGAGGGGGTGTGGGGATGGGGCTGGGCATGGGGATTGGGGTTGGGATATACATGGGCACGGGGACGAGTACGATGGGCATGGGGATGGACATGGGCACGAAGATGGGTGAAGTGGGGATGGGGATCACTCAGTGGCCTACCGTTGGCTTTGTGTGGCAGCAGCGCTGCTATATCCCCCTCGTACACCATGCTCCTCGCTCGCACCAGATCTTCCTCCATCTGAGCGTTCCATCGCATGGGTGAGCGGGGAGTGTGAGGGGAAGGGGAGGTGGGGAGGGGAGGGGGGGGGGGAGTGGGTTGCGGGTATTCAGGCACCTCAAAAACAATCAAGCCACACCATGCTCCTCGCTCGCACCAGATCTTCCTCCATCTGAGCGTTCCATCGCATGGGTGAGCGGGGAGTGTGGGGGGAGGGGAGGGGGGGAGGAAGGGGAGTAACAGAGCACTCAGTGCGCCATGCTCTCCTGGCTCGTACCATATCCTCCTCCATCTGACGCAATAGATTGCGATGCGAAAACAGAAGCCAATCTTGCAAGGGGCCATGAGGTCGCACAATACAGGGGTTACGCAAGTGTGGATTATCTTAGTCGATCCTCAATGTAGCGGTGAAGGTGACGGGGTGACGGTGACTGGATGGAAAGGAACCTGATCTGTGCGTTCGTGCGTTCAAGAGAATAGCATCTCAGAAGTTAACGCGGGAAGATAAAGCTTATCATCTCAGCGGCGCTCCCGCACCCATAACTACCTCCCGTTCTTCCTACTCGTTCCACGATTTCTCTACGCAACAAAAGAATCCGCCAATCGCCCTAAGAGTCTGTTGTTTCATAACATATATTTTTTCACCTGCTCTGCGACTTCAGGCGAAACCTCGTCTTTCGCCGCTGCGACGTTCACGCTCTTTCGCAGCGCGCGAAGCTCCTTCTCGAGCGCGATCGCACGCTCGCCGAGAGCGTCGCCTTCGCTCTTGAGTCGCTGGCTATACCCGGCCGCTGTTTCCTGCAGCGCCTTGCATCGTTCCATCACGGCCTCCACGTCGGACAAAAGCTTCTGACCTGCTTCTGTTACTCCCTCCGGTAACGATGCCATGTGGCCTGTGTTCTCTGAGCTGCCAGGATCCGCCATGGCTGGACAAATCTAGGAAGAAAAGCTCAGCAAATATTAGGTCTTACTTCTAAAAGAGATTGACGGTCTAGACAGAATGGTATAGAGACGAAATATCGGCTGAAACTACGCATGTAACTAATGGTGGTGAGGGGCTAAACGCCATAAAAATGAAGAATCTGGTCTTTCAAGAATGATCACCATTGACAGCAGCCAAGAAATGAAAGAACGATTCGACAATCCCAAGATTGTTGGAACCAACAACAGAACGGTCAAGATCGGCGAAGTGGAGAAGAATTCGCCGCAGAGTGGAATCGACCATTGTCAACAGTCAGGAATTGATGTGGCTTGCAGTTGAATCTGGAGCAGGTTGGGCCAGACATGAAGCACTTTTGGCTTTCCCGAGGCTCACGGCGAGGTTCGTGGTTTGATTGTATCGGGGTGTGCTTCGCATTGAAGTGCATGTATCTTCACTTGAGGGGAATGGGATATGCTGTACGTTGAGGCACTGTAGTTCTTGATAGACTGACGTTCGGGATGTATCGTTTATACCACCTGCTTGAAACGCGTCCACGTCGAGCTGATGTCGTTGCTCTGCCAGTCAGCACTTGCCACCACTCCAGCTAATTCGTAACTTCGAAGAAGTTATCCTCCTCGCAACATTCGCGGAGCTTTCCAGGAGATGGCTGAGAGAACTGCGAGTCAAGTAACGACAAAGATCCTGCGAGTCGCCCATGTCCACGCGGCGCTTCTTGGTGCTGCGCGACCCGAAACGATGACTCTGCGAAGCCTCGCACCAGCAGTGTCTCGCACGCAGCGAAGCCCCCAATGTGGTCTGTGTTCGCAGCCCCATTCACAGCCAGCCCGATCTGTCGGTGCCGTCGAGTCATCGGAGTGATTGCGACGAGGTGAGCGACGAAAGCGACGCACCTGGCCGACGAAAGTCACAATCTACACGCAGTCGCACAGTCTGCGAAACCCACCACGGCAGCTGCATACGACACCAAACCTCCCTCCCGACTCTCCTTTGCGACCATCCACTACAAATAGACCGTCCCTCCGACACAATTCATCACATCAGCAGCAAAAACAGCCCCCATCTCACTTTTCTACTGCTAAACCTAGTAAGCAGCTATCGGTATTACTACGAAATTTGACCTCTCAGGTTTACCAATTATAAAAGGAATTTCTCACTTCTACCAGCACAATGGCGCACTTCTCTCTCCAGACTCCCGTCGGGCAGTTCGAGCACGACGGTCGCAATGCGCAGTCCCTGGGCTCCCAGCGCAGCTACTTAGACGACACTGAGACGAGAATCTGGATCAACGAGTCCGCAAATGCTAGCTCAGGGTCTACCAACATTCTCTCCATCCCAACTGGCCGCCTCGAGGACTATTTCGTTCTGGATTCTCACGTGTTAGGGTCCGGCCAGTTCGGGACCGTTCGCCGCTGCACGGAGCGCGCCTCAGGCTCGCGCTTCGCCTGCAAGACCCTCCTAAAGGAGGGGCTTAAGACCGAGGCAGAGCGCGACGAGATCCGAAAGGAGATTAATCTGATGCAGAGGGTTGCGGTGGGCGGCGCGCACGCAGGGGTCGTGCAGCTGCGCGCCGTTTTCGAGGACGATGTCGCAGTGCACCTCGTGATGGAACTCTGCGAAGGCGGCGAGCTGTTCGACGAAGTTGTGCGACGTGGGCGATTTCACGAGCGCGACGCCGCGAGCGTTTTCGCGCAGATCGCAGCGGCCGTCGCACACTGCCACGCCCGCGGCGTCCTCCACCGCGACCTGAAACCCGAAAACATCCTGCTTGTGCGGGACCCATCTGTACCGCTTTGCGCCGCACCCCTGATCACAAAAGTCGCAGACTTTGGCCTCGGCGTCGCGCTTGAGGCAGGCGAACGCACGAAAGGAGTCGCAGGGTCGCCGTTTTACATCGCACCTGAGGTCCTCACAGGCGATTACTCTCTAGGAGCCGATGTCTGGTCGCTCGGTGTCATTCTCTACATTCTTCTCAGCGGCGTACCGCCTTTCTGGGGCGCTACGGATAAGGACGTTTTCGTCGAAGTGCTTCGCGGCGTGGTTGATATGAGCGGTGCGGAGTGGGAGGGAGTGTCGGAAGAGGCGAAGCATCTCGTGCGGTGCCTGCTTCAGTCGGACGCTTCGAGAAGGCCGTCAGCTGCCGCTATCCTTTCCCACCCTTGGATTCTGCGCGCGTGCCGCGTCAGCAGCGCGGGTGCTCGCCAGCTGGCCCCTGTTACGAAATCAGAAGCAGCGGACACGATCATGGCGTAAAATTTCAGTCCAGTGTTCAACACTAGCTAGGGTTGGGTTGTAGAAGTGTCGGGGGCACTAGTACAGATTGTTCGCACAGGGGAATGCCAAGCCAAGCCTCCTGGAGTCAGGCGACGTCGCATGACCGTTTGCGAGGGCCTCGAACAGCAAGAGGGGTGAGGAGAGGCTTGGTTTGGCATTACTTCCTAGATATCTGTACACCTAACTTTTGTGCGCCATACTTGTATGAAGTCAACTGTTCATAAGAATCATCTTCCTCAGCAGAATCACTGGTGCCACTAACCCCTTGGCAGCATATACGGAGAGGGGAAAATAAAACCTTCACAAAGGAGAAGAGCCACTGATGTATAATCTCAAGACCTATGGGATTAAAATTCATCTTTTAAAAAATTCTGGTGGGAGCAGTGTTGCTCATAAGCAGGCCTCTGGATAGGATTTGGGGTACTCTTTCTCGTAAGGCCAACACCCAGCCTTGACTCTTTCAGTAAGGGTGCTTCACAAAAACTGCTCTTAAAAATCAGGGTGCAAACAAATCTAATCATTCATCTATTATTTTTACTCTCCATAGTATGTAGGATGTTGATGTGGCAGTGTGTTGAGTAGTCACAATTATGTGGAGGCCCCGAGTTTTAAACCCAGCGCAGGCATCCTGTGCAAATAATACGTTTTACGCAACCAATCCTGGTATCCTCTCTTAGATCGAACTCGATTTCATCAGTGCTACTACACCACATAGCTCTGAAATATCAGTGTCGTATAATCGATCACTTTTTTTTTGTAAGGGTCTAAAACAAAACCAGTCTTGTAAAAAAGGGTGCATAGTCAAACCCGCCCTTATAGTAAGGGTCATAAGGGTGAATCACCCTGATATCGAGAGGCCTGCTCATAAGCAGTTGAAATGGTGGGTGGGAGTGCCTAATACTAATGCAGTGCAAAAGAAAGAATGGTGATTTTAAATATTTCTACTACCATATTTACACATCATGGAGACTCGGTTGCTGGCCCATTGGGAGGGCTCTGCCGCCTTTCAAGAATCTCCGTGTTGATGAAAGCCAGTTGTGAGAGGTTCTGAAACACATGAATGGACAAGGGGGAGAGAGGGAGAGGCCATGAAATGGGGCTGCTCTGAGAAACGTCAGCTTTCTAGGTGAGCTCAAATCCTGGAAGCTACCTGGAAGGAGAAGCCTGAGAAGAAAATACTGCATTGTCACGAAGCTGTCTGAAACGAGAAATCATGAGGTTTTGTAAAGGCTCTGGCTCGAACAAGTAGAAAAAAGCCTCTGATTTCGTGCATGCCGTCACGTACCTTGTCAAGCCCATCCTATCAATATCAACCTCTCACCGTGTCACCTCACCCCATGAGCCTATCAGCCAACCAACCTATCAGGCTATACATCCTACCCATCGTAGCCGTTCTACCTACCTACCTAACCCAGGCAGCATGCCTTGAAGGAGAAGCCTGAGAAGTCAACCATGTTGGACTGGAAAGTCATCGTGCTTATTGGCCTATCAGACTATCACTACCCAAGCTACCCATGCATGGCAGGCAGCATACTTTGAAGGAGAATCCTGAGAAGTCAAGCGTGTTGGACTGGAATGCCGGCATGTCTCCCGCCTCGTCATGCTTATCAAACTGTCAGTCTATCAGCTTATCAGCCTTCAGTCTATCAGCCTACCCATTCTACCCATGCAAGGCAGGCAACAAACGGTACCTTGAAGGAGTAGCCTGAGAATTCAACCATGTTGCACTGGAATGCCAGCTTGTTGACCCACTCATCGTGCTTATCGGCCTATCAGACTATCACTACCCATTCTACCCATGCATGGCAGGCAGCATACCTTGAAGGAGAATCCTGAGAAGTCAACCGCGTTGGACTGGAATGCCGGCATGTCACCCGCCTCGTCATGCTTATCACATATCAGCCTATCAGCCCACCAGCCTACTCATATTACCCACGCAAGGCAGGCAGCATATGGTACCTTGAAGGAGAAGCCTGAGAAGTCAACTGCGTTGGATTGGAATGCCGGCATGTCACCCGCCTCATCATGCTGATGGGGGAGGGGAGGGAGGGGCAGGAGGGGTGAGAGAGGAGAGTGGAACGGGTGGGAGGGGTGAGAGAGGAGAGTGGAACGGGTCGGAGGGGTGAGAAAGAAGTTGGATTGGAACGCTGGCATGTCACCTGCCTCATTGTGCTGATGGGGGAGAGACATGCCAGGGGGGAGCAGGGGGGGGTGTAAGGGATGAGAGAGGACTGAGGGGATGAAGGAGGGGTGCAGGGAGAGACGGTGGAGGGAAAGGAGGAGGGGTGTGAGAGGGGAGAGGTGGGTGGGAGAGGAGGAGGCCAACGCACAGGAAAGGGATTGGGTCATGGGGTTTGCATTAGCAGATGCGTTGGAGCCTTGAGTATGCCCAACCCATCCCCCCAGATGCCCCCTGATGCCCCCTTCTAGACTCAAAGGATGGTCAGATGCCCCCTTCCCTCCAGATGCCTTTGTGTTGAGCCACCTCCCCCATCCCCCACCTCACCCTTTCCATCTCCAGGTCCTCTGAATCACTCGTGCTGCCGCCACTGCTGCTGTAGTTGCTGCTGCGCGCATCTCCCCCCGCCCCTCCCACCACGCCCTCCCCTCCTTCCAGTGCGTTTGCCCCGTAGCGGCATGCAAAGTAGCTCGTGTCGTGTGCGTTCTCCGGCTCGGGAATGAAAGGGGGCTGACATGGACAGAAGGAGGGGAGGCATTGGGGTGATAGGGAGGAAAATCAGTTGCTGCTGCGGCCATCTGCCCCCCAACGCCCAACTTGTAGCGCGTTTGCCCTGTAGCGGCATGCAAAGTAGTTCGTGTCGTGTGCGTTCTCTGGCTCGGGCACAAACGGGGGCTGGCAGGAGGGAGGGAGGGCACATCGGCAAGAGAGGGACATAAATCAGCTGATTCTGAGCCCATCCGCACCCCCCACGCCCACCACGCCCTCCTCTCCTTCCAGTGCATTTGCCCCGTAACGGCATGCAAAGTAGCTTGTGTCGTGTGCGTTCTCTGGCTCGGGAATGAAAGGGAGCGAGAGGGCGGATTCAGAAGATGGAGCATTCTATCAGATGTTGTTGCGGCAGTATAGCAGCAGCAGCAAAGGGTGCAGTGAGTTCAGGGAAAGCGAGGCTTTAGCCTAACCTTTTCAGAGGAGAGGGTGTCCCAGTCGATGCTGCTTTGGAAATTCTTAGAGGCAACTCTAGCCCAGCAGCAGCAAGAAGAGTAAAGGTCTAACCTTTTCAGAGGAGAGGGTGTCCCAGTCAATGTCGCGAAAGAAGGGATGCCTCTTGATCTGCAGCACATGCGAGAGGGGCGGGAGGAGCACACACACATCACATTTCCAGCAAAACAAAGAGCACACGCACACACAAAAAAAAAAAAAAAAAAAAAAAAAAGTAAGAAAGAAAGAAAAAAGGTGAATGGAGCTAAGGGTAAGTGACAGAGTGAGTGAATGGAGTGAGGAAGATGCAGCAGAGTGAGTGCATGGAGAGCAAGGGAGTGAAGAGGTAGCAAGAGGTGGCAAGGGGTGGCAAGGGGTAGCTGACCTCGTCTGCTCCCTGGGCGCCTAGACGCTCATCCGGGTCGAAAGTGAGAAGCCTGGAGAACACAGGAGAGAGCAGCAGGCAGGGAAACAACAAGGCTATCGGGATAAGTGCACTCAAGTGAGGGCTTTTCCTCCCTTTCCCTTTGTTTCTCTCCTTTCCCCCCCCACTCCCCCATCCCCCTTGCCCTTTTCCAGCCAGTCACTGGGATTAGTGTATGCATTAGAATCTGAAGTTGATTGCCACAGACAAGGCACGTACCTGTCAATGAGGCCCTTTGCCTCGTACAACATGTCTTCTAGCACAGCTGCTCTTTGCTCATAGGAGAAAGGCTGCAGTGTGCAAAGCACGACGCTCACCTGTTGCTTGCTTGCTTGCCACAGGCATTTCAATCCACTTACCTGTCAAGGTGCATACCTGTCAAGGTGCATACCTGTCAAGGTGCATACCTGTCAAGGTGCATACCTGTCAAGGTGCATACCTGTCAAGGCGCATAGGCGGGTACCTGTCTATAAGGTCTTTCGCCTCGTATGACATGTCTCCTGGCACAGCCGGCCATGTGATGTCGCGGTTCAATATGTTGTCAAAGATTTGCTTATAAAGGGGATAAGCATGGGGGAAGAGCAGGGGATAAGCAGGGATGGCAATGGGAGGAGGTGGAAGAGGGACAGTTTGTTGTCACGGATTCACTTTTAAGGGGGATACAGGAGGAACCAGCTGGATATGGGAGGAACGGAAAGTCAGTGTGCACAAAACAAGGCAGTTGTGTGGGGGGGTGCACAAAACAAGGAGAACGGAGACGTGTCAAAACGCAATAAGTGTATGTGCACACGAGGTAGGGGTGGGGTGAGGGGGGTGGAAGGAGGGGGTTGTTGGGAGGGTTGTGCAAGAGAATTGCAAGCGTATCATATCAATATCAACAAAGGAGAGAAAGAGAGAGAGGTACCTGAGGAGAGGGGGCGTTGAAGGGCGGAATTCCCACCAGCAGCTCATACAGCAGCACTCCCACTGACCACCAGTCCGCTGCTGGGCCTGGGAACGCATAGAGATGAATACAGAGAGAGGCGAAACCAAGAGCGAGTGGAATGGGATGGAATCGAGTGGTAAGAGCTCGACACCAGACAGGGGAATCCCCACCAGCAGCTCGTATAGCAGCACTCCCACTGACCATCAGTCGACTGCAGGGCCTGAGAGGGCGCGCAGGCGGGAAAGCAGGGGGCGAGCAGAGAAGAATGCGGTCTCAAAAGTCACACGGAAGAATGCGGAGAGATAAATACAGAGAGGGGCCACCAAGGGGCACGCAGCACGGACAGACGCAAGTGGGACAGCAAACGATCTCCTCCAAACAAGGCAGGATCCCCACCAGCAGCTCGTACAGCAGCACTCCCACTGACCACTGGTCCGCTGCCGGGCCTGGGGGGTTGAACGGGGGGGGCGGGGGGGAAGCGAGAGGGGGATAGAGACAAGACGGCATGCCACTCATGCACCGACGCCACAAACCACATGCGCACCGTGTGGAAGACCGAGCAGAATCTCTGGAGCCAAGTAGTCTGGCGTTCCCACTGCCTCCACTGCCACTCTCCCTCCCCCCTCCGCTCCTGCTCCCCTGCTCTCTCCTACCCCAGAACCACCTGTAGCGGCATCAGCAGCAGCTGTAGCAGCAGTTGCACCTGTGGCATTTGACATGGCAGCAGCAGGAGCAGCACAGGTGGATTCACTGGTAGCCTTCTCCTCCTCATCGCCCTCCCTCCCATACACAACCACTCCATTCTCCTCCCCACAAACCTTGCTTGCCTCTTGCTTTTCCGTGCACTCTCCCCCTCCCTTATGCTCCTCACTCTCAACGTTGCCACTGCCATTGCCATTGCCATTGCCGTTGCCACTGCCATTGCCATTGCCATTGCCATTGCCGTTGCCACTGCCTGTGTTACTGCTCCCCCCATTCCCCTCGCTCGCCCCTGCCAGGCGTCTCAGCAGGGAGGCGTGCTGAGCCTGCTGCTGCCACCGCTGTGTGATGATCTGAGACGGAGACGAGCAGTGCATCCCCCCTCCTCCTCCCCCCCCGCCTCCCCCCCCACCCCCTACCCCTGCAAAATGCGAGGGCGAGGAACAAAACGACCCCCCTCCCCCTCCTCCTCCACCCCCTCCCCCACCCCCCAACCCGGAAGGATGCAGAGGGGAAGAGCAGGCAGAAGCATGCAGGGGGGAGGCATATCCAGGTGCATGCATGGGAGAGGAGTATCCAGAGGCAGGGTTGGAGTGTTGACCAGAGAGAGTGGAGGGAGGGCCGGAGCGGGGCGAGGGGAATTCCTGCAGGCTGGATGCGGTCCAGAGTGGTGAGTCTGCTGCTGCTCCTTCAGAACTGACGCTGAATGAATGCGGGAAAAGCTTGCCTGTGCGTGGGGAGCGGGGGAAGGGGGGGAAGAGAGAGTGGAGAAGGGAAAGGGGGGAAGAGAGAGTGGAGAAGGGAAGGGGGGGAAGAGAGAGTGGAGAAAGGAAGGGGGGGAAGAGAGAGTGGAGAAAGGAAGGGGGGGAAGAGAGAGTGGAGAAGGGAAGGGGGGGAAGAGAGAGTGGAGAAGGGAAGGGGGGGAAGAGAGAGTGGAGAAGGGAAGGGGGGGTGGAGAAGGGAAGGGGGGGAAGAGAGAGTGGAGAAGGGAAGGGGGGGTGGAGAAGGGAAGGGGGGGAAGAGAGAGTGGAGAAGGGAAGGGGGGGAAGAGAGAGTGGAGAAGGGAAGGGGGGGTGGAGAAGGGAAGGGGGGGAAGAGAGAGTGGAGAAGGGAAGGGGGGGTGGAGAAGGGAAGGGGGGGAAGAGAGAGTGGAGAAGGGAAGGGGGGGAAGAGAGAGTGGAGAAGGGAAGGGGGGGAAGAGAGAGTGGAGAAGGGAAGGGGGGGTGGAGAAGGGAAGGGGGGGAAGAGAGAGTGGAGAAGGGAAGGGGGGGTGGAGAAGGGAAGGGGGGGAAGAGAGAGTGGAGAAGGGAAGGGGGGGAAGAGAGAGTGGAGAAGGGAAGGGGGGGGTGGAGAAGGGAAGGGGGGGAAGAGAGAGTGGAGAAGGGAAGGGGGGGTGGAGAAGGGAAGGGGGGGAAGAGAGAGTGGAGAAGGGAAGGGGGGGTGGAGAAGGGAAGGGGGGGAAGAGAGAGTGGAGATGAAAGTCTCAGTAAGTGGGGCAAGAGAGGCAAGTCGGGAGCTGCTCCTTCGGAGCTGACGCTGAATGAATGCGGTTGAAGCTTGCCTGAGCGAGGGAAGGCGGGATGGGAGCAAGGGGGGATGGGAGCAAGGGGGGATGGGAGCAAGGGGGGATGGGAGCAAGGGGGGATGGGAAGGGGACCGGGAGGAGCGGAGGAGATGAATCAGTGGGTAGAAGGCGTGAGTATGTGCCTGCTCCTTCCAAATTCAGGCTGTAAAGTGGGGGATGTGGGAGTGCTTACCAAGGGAGGTGGTTACCAGGGAGGTGTTTCATCAGCGCAGGTGCTTATCAGGGGAGGTGCTTACTGAAGGAGGTGTTTCATCATTGGAGGTGCTTACTGAAGGAGGTGTTTCATCAGCGGAGGTGCTTACCAGGGGAGGTGCTTACTGAAGGAGGTGTTTCATCATTGGAGGTGCTTACCAGGGGAGGAAGGCGCGGAGGCGTGGTGGGAGGGGATGGGCTGCTGCTGATTGGTGGAGAGGTCCCCGGCACTGTTGATCAGGCCCACCCTTGACAGCCCGAAGTCCGTCAGCTGAGGGTTTGGTGAGGGGTGGTGACGGGTGAAGAGGAGTGATGAGTGGTGACGGGAGGTGATGGGCACACTAAGGGCACTGTCGATGAGCCCCAACCTGGACAGACCAAAGTCCGTCAGCTGTAGGGTAGTGTGGGTGGGTGGTAAGGGGTGGTGAGGGGTGGTGAGGGGTGGTGAGGAGGGGTGATGGGATTGGTGGAGCAAGGCATGACAAGCGAGCCACACCAAACAAAACTGAACCTGGAAATCCTAGGAAGCACAATGAAACGATTCATACATGAGCATCTCATCTTGATGTGCCCATCGTGTGCGTGCGATAGGCAAGTTGTCTTGTCTTGTCCGGCAGTCGCCTTGTGAGACCCACCCACCCACCGGCCTTCACAGTACAGTGAAACGACAGCATGAGCATCCTACCCACCTCACCCATCTCACCTTGATATGCCCATCATGTGCTATGAGCAGGTTGTCCGGCTTGATGTCCCGATGCACCACCCCCAGCCCACGGAGTGAAGCCATTAGAGGCTCCTCAAAAGCCATGAAGCAACAGAATGAGCATCCCACCCACCTCACTCATCTCACCTTGATATGCCCGTCGTGTGCTATGAGCAGGTTGTCCGGCTTGATGTCCCGATGCACCACCCCCAAGGAGTGCAGATACTCCAGCGCTTGCACCTGGTTGCAGTTGGAGTGGAGAGGGGTTGGATGGGGTGGAGATGGGGGCGGAGGGTTGGAAGGGAATACACCACCCCCAGTGCATCACCCACAGGGAGTGCAGATACTCCAACCCAATGCTTGCATCTGGGGGGGGTAAGAGGGAGGGGGGTTGGTATGGGAGACAAATAGGGGTCACGGGGGAGACGACATTGCCAGTCAACGCCAGCCAAGGGCAGTAACGCCAGTCAATGGTAGTGAACGCCAGTCAACGCCAGTCAACCCCAGTGAGCACGCACCAGCTCGGCGGTGTAGAAGCAAGCAGTGGACTCCTCTAGCGCCTCGCAGGCGTGCAGCAGCGAGAAGAGGTCGCCCCCATCCAGACACTCCATCACCATGTACAGGTTCTCTCAACCCAATATGTGACGAAGTAGACCCAGTCAACGCCAGTCAACCCTAGTCAACCCACCAGCTCAGCAGTGTAGAAGCAGGCGGTGGATTCTTCGAGTGCCTCGCAGGCGCGCAGCAGGGAGAAGAGGTCGCCGCCATCGAGATACTCCATCACCATGTAGAGGTTCTCCCGACACGTGAACGAGTAGAAGCAGCGCACCACAAACGGGCTCCTGGCGGAAGCGAGGATGTTGCGCTCCGCCTGCACGCTCTCCACTGCGTTCTTCCGAATCATGTCCGCTTTCCGGAGCACCTGTAGGAGGGATAAGGGAGAGAAGGGGGAGAGAAAGTGCGTGGAGTAGAAGCAGCACACCACAAACGGGCTCCTGGCGGAAGCAAGGATGTTGCGCTCCGCCTGCACGCTCTCCACTGCGTTCTTTCGGATCATGTCCGCCTTGCGCAGCACCTGGGGCAGGGGGGGGGAGGCGGGGAGGTGGGAGGGGGAGGGGGAACGGGCACGTGTACAAGTGAGTGCCACACACACACACACACACACTCACACACACACACTCTCTCACACACAAACACACACTCACACACACACACTCTCTCTCTCTCACACACACACACAGACACACACACACAGACACACACACACAAAAAGGCCTCGTCCTCTCGCCCTCCTTCCCTCCTGCTACCTACCTTGATAGCAAACAGGTCTCCTGTCGTCCGCTTCTGAGCCAGGAACACCCTCCCATACGCGCCCTTGCTGATAGGCTTGATGATCTCAAAGTCATCAATTGTTGTGCGCTGCTCCTTCTCTCCCATTCCCCCTCCGCCTCCGCCACCCCCTCCCCTGCTCCCCCCACCGCCAATGCTCCCCAGTGAGTGGGGGAGAGCGAACGCCCCCCCTGTGGCGCTGGGGTTGCTGGTGGGGGAAGCTGCTGCTGCTTCGGACCCGCTTTGATAGGACCTAAGCTGCAACATGCGTTGGTACTTCTCTCTGGAGGAAAGAGGGAGAGAAACAGGAGGGAGGAGACGAGGAGGGAGGGGGGAGAGGGGGTCGCAAATTCGTACGTATATACCCCCAAATCTGATGGTCATCCCATCCTTACTGCAGCAGGATGGCGATGCGCAACCCCACGATCTGCACGCAGGGGAAGGCTGGAAGCCAAAGAGCAGCGTGTGTCTGATCACACGTACACTCTCTCTCACTCAAAACACCAACACCAAGCAGTTACCATCTCATCCTTACTGCAACAAGATCGCAATTCGCAGCCCGAAGATCTGCACGCAGGGGAAGCACGCCGCGTGCAAGCGCAGGAGGGTGGAGAGGTCGTGGATGTCGGTGGAGAGCAGCGCACAGACGCACAACCACACACTATCCAACACTCTGTCACACTGTGTGCCATGTCACACTGTGTGCCGTGTCACACATACACTCCCTGACTCCAGACACCAAACACCATGAAGAGACAATGCGCTCTAAGCCATGCTTACTGCAACAAGATGGCGATGCGCAGCCCGAAGATCTGCACGCAAGGAAAGCGCGCAGCATGCGAGCGCAGGAGGGCGGAGAGGTCGTGGATGTCGGTGGAGAGCAGCGCGAGCGCGTCCGCCTGCCCCACCTGCACCTCCCCCACGTCCTCCGCTATGTCTGCTAGGTCGTTCAGCTGGGGGAGGGGAGAAGGGGGGGGAGGTGGGGGAGATGGTGGGGAGGAGGTGGGGGGGAAGTGGGGGAAAGTGGGGGCGAGAAGGGGGAACGAGATAGGGTGAGCACGGGGAAGAGGAAGAGTGAAGGGAGGGTGTGAGAGGCAGCAGCGTGTCATCAGTGTAGGAGCGCAGGAGGGCGGAGAGGTCGTGGATGTCGGTGGAGAGCAGCGCGAGGGCGTCCGCCTGCCCCACCTGCACCTCCCCCACGTCCTCCGCTATGTCTGCCAGATCGTTCAGCTGGGGGAGCAAAGAGAAGGTGGGAGAAGGAACGCAAGGGGTGGCATAGCTGAAATAACATCTGCCTGCCCCACTGCACCTCCCCCACATCCTCTGCTATGTCCGCCAGATCGTTCAGCTGTAGCGTGGGGGGGAAGGGGCGAGGGTGGGAGGTGTGGGGAGGTGCAGAGGAAGTAGGGGAGGGAGGTAGGGTACGCACATAATAAGCACTGAAGAGAGAGAAAGCGAAAAGCAACAAGCATGGCAGCAGAGCGAATCCGTCTGCCCCAACTGCACCTCCCCCACATCCTCCACTGGGTCCGTCAGTTCGTTCAGCTGGAGCGAGGGGGGGTGCGGGGAGGGGAAAAGTATAAGGCGGACGTAAGAAGCACAAGGAGGAGTTGATCTAACGGATTTCTCGCAAGCACCACCCCTGCCTTTCTCGCACCCAACTCACCACATTGATCTCCACGTTAATCTCCTCCACAGCCGCACCTGCTCCGCTCCCAGCAGCTTTATGTCGCCTCCCAAGGTGACTCATGAGCGAACTCAAAGGTCAACACAAAAGTCAACACAGAAGTTGACTCAAATAGGCACCCAACTCACCACGTTGATTTCTTCATCAATCTCCTCCACAGCCGCACCTGCTCCCAACAGCTCCATGTCGCCCCCCACACTGCCCCCTCTCCTTGTCAAAGACTCCCCCCCGGGCAAGCTGCTGCTCTGCCTCCCGCCCGTGCTGCTCATGCTGCCCCATGGGCGTTGACTGGCGTTGACTGACGTTGACTGGCCTCTTGGGAGACTCTTAGACTGCACATGGTGTGATTGTAAGCCGTGTGCTTGTAGAGTTTGACTGTGAGAAGCTGAAGCAGGCAGTGACCTTGCAGTGGCCAGGACTGCTGCTGTTGCCGCTGTCTCTGCTGCTGCTTTTGCCTCTGTTGCTGCTGCTTCTGATACTCCTGTTGCTGTTGCTGCTGCTGCAACCGCTCCTTGCGCTGCTACTGCCGCTGCTGCTGCACAATCTGACACCCGGGCAGAATCAGCTGAGTCAGTTGAAGAGGAGCAGGCATTTGGAATACCCGTGCGTTCGGCCTGGGAAAGCACAGGAAGGGAGTTGGAGAGAGCATGTTGCTTGGCAGCAGGGGAGAGGCTGGGAAAGGACGCACTGGCAAGACCACCCAGTCGCTTGGCAGCAGAGGAGAGGCTGGGGGACGAGGGGTTGGATAGCCCTGTTCGCTTGGCGGCAGGGGAGAGGAGCGGGGAGGAGGAGTTGGACAGGGCGGTTCGTGTGGCGGGGGAGAGGGTGGGGGAGGAGGAGGCGGAGAGGGAGAGGCCAGCGCGTTTCATGAGGGGCACGAGGTCCAGCTTCCATGGGCTGCCGTGTGCCTGGGAGGTGCGCACTGACAGGGGCGACCGCTGCTGCTGCTGCTGCTGCGGATGGTGATGTGGTGGTTGTCTCTGCAATTGATCAACATGTGGTGGCGATGCTGATGGTGGCGGCAGTAATGATGGATGGGTGGCTGCTGCTTGCTGCTGCTTTGCCTGCTCTGACATCAGCTGCTGCTGCTCCTGCTGCTGCGCAGAATGCGAGCTTTCCTCGGCGAAACACTGCTGTTCCTCTGATGCCTTCTGGGCTAAGTGATGCCGCTGTTTCTTCTCCTCTGAAAGCTCCTGCTCCTTCGATCCCTTCCCCAGCTGCTCCTGTCTCTCAGGCCCCTCTTGCAATGCATTCTCTGGCTGCTCCTCTAACAACTCATGGGAACCAAGGGATCTCTGATGCGTCTCAACACTCAGCTTGATAGACCCAGGTGCCTTCTCATCCTTCTCTGTGTTCTCCTCTTTCTCTCTGTGCTCCACTTGAGCAGCAAAGTCCCAGTCGCTTTGAGCTGGCTTCATGCCATGGGGGGTGGACTCCAAAGCAGCACCACCTCCATCACCAGTAGCAGCAGCATCACCACCATCACCACCAGCAGTAATAGCAGGAGCAGCAAGAGGAGCATTAGCAGCAGCAGCTGCAGCAGCAGCAGAGACATTAGCAGCGGCAGCAGCAGCATCAGATGCAAAAGCCGCCTCAAGCCGCACAGACAGCTCTGCCACCACCGCATCCAACCCCACCCCAAGCCTATGTAACCGCTCATCCAGCGGTAACCGCGTGTCGTCGCACCGGTTGGCCAGGGCACAGAGGCACGAGTGCTCCTGCAGGTCCCGCAGTGGAACCTCCTCCTCGCATATCCGGCACATCACCACTGCTTCCTCCTCCGAATTCTCCTTTGCTGATGTGCCTCTGCTCACCCTTCCCCTCTCTACCCCCGTGCCCGCCCCGCCCCCTGCCCTTGCTCCTGCCATCGCCCCCGCCCCCGCCCCTGCACCCGCCCCGGCCCCTGTCCCTGCCGCAGCCCCTGCTCCCGCTCCCATCCCTGCCCCTTCCCCTGCCTCTCCATGTGCTCCTATGCCTTCCCCCATCGCAGATCCTGACGCTATTTCCGTGCCTCCTGCATCTGCTCGCATCCCTAGTAGGTTTTCCCCTTCTCCCCCATACATGTCATCTGTCTCTTGCCGGCCCTTCAACTCCTCTACTATGGCTTTCCAATCCTCCTGCCGCCCGACACTGTCCTGCCGCCCGACACTGTCCTGCCGCCCAATGCTATCCTGCCGCCCAACACTATTCTGACGCAGGATGCTATCCTGCCGCCCAGCACTATCACACCGCCCCCAGAAGCCGTACCTGTACGGTAGCAGCTTACCCGAGCTGGTCCTCTCAAGCTTAAGCCTCTCCTTTACTATCTCCAATAACACACTCTCATCCACGCCTGCACTCGCCGCTCCTGCTGCTCCTGCTGCTCCTCGCGATCCCACTACTCCACCCGCCCCCACTGCTCCTGCCGCCTGCTGCTGTCGCGGGGGTGGCGGCTGTTGCAGTTGCTGCTGCTGCTGCTGCTGCTGCTTCTCCCACTCGCTGGATCTATTCGCCGTGTCTGCATACTTTTCAACGGCCTCAGCCGCCTCTTCTTCAACCATCATCCCCTCCACCTCCACCTCCCCTTTCCCCTTCCCCTTCCCCTTCCCCTCCCCCTCCTCGTGGACTCCCACCACCCCCTTCCCCTCGTCTGCAACCGCCGCTTGCAACAGTGCCTCTCTCCCAGTCTCACCACCCATCGCCTCTTGCTCCACCTGCTCTTGCTCCACCTGCACTTCTTTCACCAGCCCTTGCTCCACCTGTCCTTCCTTCACCTGCCCTTCCTGCTCCTCCCTCAGCTCTCCTATCCTCCATTTCCCTTCCCCCACTGCTGCCAGTTCACCAGCAGCACCGTCCCAGGTGCTGCCAAGCCCACCACCACTGCTTGGTACAGCAGCATCCGAGTGGCTTGACAGAACAGCAGCAAAGGGAGCATGACCAAGGGGAAGCAGAGCATGAAACGGGGTGGTAAGGTCACTGCCTCGACTCATCCGAACCATCGGCAGGTGAAGGATCTCCTCCGGAGGACATGAAAGGGAACCACCCTCAGGCGCTCCCTCAGGTGAAACCTCAGGTGCCACTTCAAGTGCCACTTCAGGTGTCTTGTCAGGTGCCACCTCAGGTGTTTTTCCAACAGAGCCATCATGCCCCATCACCACAGCTCCTCTTTCCAAAGACGCATCCTCTCGCACGTCTCCTGCTCCTACCACCCCAATCACACCTTTCCCTTCCACCAATGAATCCCCTACTCTTTCCCCTCTGCTCGCTATTGCACCCTCTCTCTCTGCCTCTGTCAACGTCCCCACTCCGCTCTCTCGTACCACCTCTCTTGAACCTAATCCTAACCCTGACTTGCCATGCACGCCTTGCCGCACTGCACCCCTCTCCTGCTCACTCTCGTGGCCCCCTTCACCCCGATCCCCCACCACCACCATCTCATGCCAGCCCTCCCACGCTCCCCTACTGCTGCTGCTGCTGCCGCTGCCCTTTTCCCGCCTGCCCTCCTGTCTTGTTTCCTGCGCCCCTACGGCTGCCGATGCCACTGCTGTCGCCACTGCTGCCACTGCTGCTGTCGCTGCTGCTGCTCCTTCAGATGCTACGTCTGCTTTTGCTTCTGCTGGTGCACCCACAGAGGCAGCAATAGCAGCAGAAGCAACTGCAGCAGCAGCCACAGAAACATCATTCACACTCGCGTACCCTCTCGCCTGCCACCCTTTCTCCTCCACCCTCTCTTCCACCACACCATCAGTCACATCCTTGCCCTCTGCTCTTCCCTCCATTCCACCCTCTTCAAGCCCCCCATCCATGAGCGAACCTTTCAGCTCTACACTCTCTTGCACATCTTTCACGCTCTGAGGAGAATTTGGAGGTCGCGAGGCGACCACACTACCCCCCACAGCCTTCCCCTGAGGAGAGATACTTGACTCACCGTGAACTAGCGCTGCTACAGCACCTGTCGGCAGAACAGTCGGCACGCCATCAAGGCCGCCCACACCCCCCTGGGCGAGTCCCAGGGTGCCGGGAGAGCAGGAGAACCGCTGAGCCTGCTGCTCCACAGCCAGTAGCACCTCCCCCAGTCGCCCACTCAGTGACGCTGTCAGCATCCTCGGACCCGGGCTCACCTCCCCTGCTGCCGCCCCTCCCCATGCTCCTCCTGTTCCTGCTGCTGCTACTACTGAGGCTCCTGTCCCTCCCCATGTGGACACACGGCCGCTGCCCCGCTTCCAGCTGCCAGCGCGGATCAGAGGGGGCGTGCGGGCCCTGTCAGGGCCAGCAGTGGCAGGGGCAGGGGCAGCAGCAGGCGTGGCAGCAATCGTGGCAGTACGTGTAACAGCAACAGGAGTAACAGCAGCAGCAGCAGCAGCAGCAGCAGCAGCACCGGCAACAGCAGGAGGAGTAGCAGCAGGCACGGCAGCAAAACCCGGCATTATAGACCCTGCGACTTCCGCCTCTTCCCGTTTCTGCTGGTCCCACTGCTCCTCCCTCTCCCCCTCCCACTCCCCTTCCCGCTGCTGCTCCTTCCCCTTCCTCTGCAGCAGCAGCAGGTCCCATGCAGCAAGGTCTGCAGCAATACCCGCACCACCACTCAGGATATTGGCAGACAAAGCAGCTCTAGCACTGGCACCTTCCTGGAAGGATCCTCCCCAGTGCTGTAACCTCCTGCCAGATGGTGGCAGTTTCTCGCTGCTTCGACTGCGCTCCACCTGCACATGCTGGTTCACCTGAACCTGCTGATTCACCTGAGACATCTCCTGGAAGCTTCGAGTGAAATCGAGCCACGATTCGCTCGTTACACCTGGTGGTGAAAGCCTGTCAGTCAGCCCCTGAGCTGACCCAGTCAACCCCTGAGCTGACCCAGTCAACCCAGAGGTCAACAGGTCAACAATCCCAATCCCAAGGGGCTGTTCACCCAACCCAGCTGGCACCGCGCCAGCTGGCGACACGTCAGCTGGCGACAGCCTGTCGTCGCTACTACGCATCGCCTCCTGTGCTCCCACTTGCCCCCTGCCACTCCCATCAGGCGGTCGAGGGGGGCGCAGCAGGGGCAGAGCGGAGAGGGAGGGGAGTGAGGAGAGCGTGGGCAGTGAGGAGAGGGAGGGTAGTGAGAGTGAGAGCACGTGGTCAAGCCTCCCTTGAGACCTGCTGCTGGTGCTGCTGCTGCCGTCTGTGTGCGTTGGGGTTCTCCTCCCTGATTGGCCCACAGCTCCTGCTGATGCTGCAAGCTCAGCTGCACCTGCTCCTGCTCCTGCTCCTGCTCCGGCTGTTTTTGCTGTTGCTGCAATGGCTGCTGCCAGTGCTGCTGCGGCTCGATCAACCACGTCAGCATCACCATCAGAAGCGTCAATAGCTGCACCAGTACCAGCAGCAACAGAAGCAGCAGCACCAGTCGCACCAGCAGCAGCAGAAGCGGCACCAGCAGCAGCGGCAGCAGCTAGAGCTACTCGTCTGTGCTCAGGACTGTGGAAACTGGACCGCGAGCGGACGGAACGTAACGAGGGTCTCGGTTGCTGCTGCTCCTGCTGCTGCTGCTCCTGCTGCTGCTCTCCCTCTTGGCCCTTGCTAACAATGCTAACTTTCCCCTCCTCTGCTACTTCTCCTCCTCTCCCGGCTGCTGCCTCATTCAATTCCCCATCCTTCTGCAGTTGATGTTGCTCCTCATATCTATCACTCCACCCTCCTAACTCCGGCAAACCACTCCAAACGGCACTGCTCCTCTTACTCCCACTCTGCCTGCTCTCATCCTCGTTATTACCACTCCGATGCAGGTTTAAAGCCTCCTCCCACCGTGAGTCGCTTCCAAACACCACTCGCCTAGGCCTCACCTTTTCCAAGACCACTGGGATTTGCCCGTCGGATAGTCTGGTAACCAGGGGTGCGTCTGGTTGCTTGGTAACCACATGTAACTCTGCCCTCCTGCTCCTTGCACCAGGTGTTACAGGTGTTACCAGTCTGGCAGTTACCACATCCCCTGTTCGCCTTGCCCCAACAGTGCTGACATCAGCAGTGCCACCCGGGTCACTACTAACTCCCATCCCTCCTCCTTCTCCTCCTCCTCCCTCTCCTCCTCTTTCTTCTTCTTCTCTAACCCCTCCTTTCCCCATGCTGTTAGCCCTTATCTCTCCACCATCCCCCCCATCACTGTGCCTGCCGCCCACACCGCCTCCTTCCTTCTGGAACTGTAGCAATCTCGTGCAACGGGTCAGGACAAAAAGCAGCTTCATGATGAGCTGGCGCAGCGGGCTTCCGGGCGGCATGGCTTGTCTGGCAGCGTTCAGCTCCTGCACAATGGACTCACTCTGCCGCCCAAAATCGTCTGCTGACATGGCGAGACAGCGCTCTGCTACGGATTTTAGCTGACGCACGCCCGCCGCCCATTCTGTGCTGCTGATGCTGCCTGTGTTTGGGGTAACGGCGCTGGTGCTAGTGCTGGCGCTAGTGCTGGTGGTAATGGGTGTAACTGCAGCAGCACCAGCTGCCGCCGCCGCCGCAGCAGCAGCAGCAGCAGCAGCAGCAGAGGGAGGCAGTGGCGTCACTGCTTCTGGTGTCTTGAAAGAACGGCCCCCACCCCTGATACTGCTCCCTGCACTGCTGCTACTACCTCCAACACCACTGCTGCTGCTGCTACTGCCTACAGTTCTCCCGCTGCCGCTAATATCAGAATTGCCACCAGTACTACTAGCCCCACTACCAGCACCAGCACCATCAACAGCGGCTTTACCACCAGCACCAGCACTACCAACACCAACACCACCGGCACTGGCAGCAGCAGCAGCAGGAGTGACAGCAGTAGCAGCAGAGACACCAGCAGCAACAGAACTGGTTTCTCCCAGGCCAAACGACACAAGGCGGGGGCCCCTACCAATGCTGGGCACAGGCGTGACAGGGGTACAGGGGGAGTCCGAGGGACACATAGGCGAGGGGAGGGGGGACTGGGCGGAGGACTGGGGGGGAAAGGGCGAGGGGGGCGAGTGAGCGGGGAGGAGGAGGAGAGGCGAGTGTGAGGGGAGGAGGGCGAGGGGGGAGAGCGGGTGGAATATGTCGAGGCAGAAGCAGCGAAGCTCTGCGTCCATTTTGTCTTTTGCTGACTCGAGTTTTGTTCGGAGCGCGCCCAGCACAGGCTGCTTGTAACAAGGTTGGAACAGTGTGAAGACAGAGGACGGGGGGAAAAGGGGAGCCACGGGAAACGGGAGTCAAGAGTGCATGTGTTGCAGATCAAGGCCCATCTGAAGATGAATGCACGCACAATCGAGTCAACTCTAGTCAAGTCAACTCAAGTCAACGCACCTTGGAGTCAAAGTGAACATGGCGCAGGTCGTGCTTGAGGCGGGACGCAGAGATGGTGAGGATGAGTGCACGCACATATGAGTCAAGTCAAGTCTAGTCAAGTCAACGCACCTTGGAGTCAAAGTGAACATGGCGCAGGTCGTGCTTGAGGCGGGACGAGGGTGCAGAGATGGTGAGGTCGTTGCCTCGCACCGGCACCGCCCGGCTGCGGTTGCCCGTCGTGCGATTCATGCTCTTCAGTCGCGCTCCCTCTGCGCTTGCGAGTAAGGGAGCCTACAGAGGAGAGGGAGACCGGGACGGAGGAAGGGGGAGAGGTGAACAGAGGGCGCAGAGATGGTGAGGTCGTTGCCTCGCACCGGCACTGCACGGCTGCGGTTGCCCGTCGTGTGATTCATGCTCTTCAGCCGTGCACCCTCGGCGCTCGCGAGTAAGGGAGCCTTGAGAGGAGAGGGAGACGAGGACGGGGGGACAGAGGGAGGAGGATGCAGAGATGGTGAGGTCGTTGCCTCGCACCGGCACTGTGCGGCTGTGGCCGCCCGTTGTGCAACTCATGCTCTTCAGTCGTGCACCCTCTGCGCTTGCTAGGAAGGGAGCCTAGAGAGGAGAGGGAGACTGGGAAGGGGGAAGGGAGAGAGGTGAACAACAGGAGCAGAGATGGTGAGGTCGTTGCCTCGCACCGGCACTGCACGGCTGCGGTTGCCCGTCATGCGATTCATGCTCTTCAGCCTCGCTCCCTCGGCGCTCGCGAGTAAGGGAGCCTAGAGAGGAGAGGCAGACAAGGAGAGAGGTGAACAGAGGGTGCAGAGATGGATGGTAGTGATTCCAGGAGAGGAAGCCAGGGTCGGGGCAAGGAAAGTGCTGAAGAAACGGAGACTCAAGAGGAGAAAGAGGCAGCGATTCCCAGTTTTGGAATGCTGCTGCTCCTCACAGGCTAAAACCGTTGCTCTCCAACGGCGTATGCCACTCTCCACCGGCTAATGCCGCTGTCAACCGGCTAATGACGCTCTCCCCGTTCTTACCAACCCACGCTTCTATTGAGGCCCTCTTTTAGGGTTTTCTTTTCCCGTCGCCCCTTACCTGGCTAGCTCCCGTCACATGCATGGGCGACGGAGTCTTAGAAAGGTCCATAGACACCCTGCGATGTCGCACAGCGGCGAAATTCGCTGACGGTAGCGACGATGCGGCCACGGGTGGCGAAACGACCGGCGCGGCGCTGCTGGGGCCGGATGGCGGCCGGCAAGCCGTCGGCGACGGGCCGCCAGGCAAGGGTTCCGGTAGAGGGTCCCGGCCGGCAGAGTCGTCTGCCGGCGGGAGCAAAAAATGAACGGTTTCCCGTGACCGAGGCATCACTGTCAATTAATCGCTAAACAAATATTAAGTCTGAAATGCAAGCGTGTTCATGGTAAGAATTTCCTGGCTTTTGCTAGCGTACAGTCATTCTTATCGAACGACAATACACAAACGAGAAGGATCCCTAGCTCTGTCGCTCGAAGATGTTAAAAAGGCTTGCGTGACGCCGATGTCCTACGACGAGTAGATGATGGGGGACGTGTGACAGAGCTAGCTGGCTATGCTTCGAACGTCGTCAACGTCAACCTAGGACGGAAGAGACGGGACTTGGGACGAGACTCGACAGGACGGAACGGAGCTCGTTCACGGGACTCGGTCGGGACGGGAGGACAGGCATCGATGTGCACGGGTGGGGAAAGAGGGGAGTAAAGAGGGGAGGAGGGGGGTGCCTGACTCCGAAGCGCGTCCGCTGGTTTGTGTGGTGTAGTCTACGCGGAGGACGGGGGGAGTGGATGAAGGGAGAGGGGAGATAAGATCGAAATTGGCTAGGCTACTGCTCCACGGGCCGAGCGTGCGTGAGCTATCACATGCTCGGCAAAATCAGTGGACCGGAATGCCGTGGCGTGACTGGCATGGGTCTGTCATGGCCGCGGGGTTTCCAATCCCAAGAAGCGAAACCGCGAGGCGGGAAAAACGCACAGTGGTGCTCGGCAGAATCCATGGATGCTGATGGTGTCGCCTGATGATGATGGATGCATTGACCGTTAGACCAAAAGGGGGTCCTACATACGTACAGTCAACTGTACGGGCTTCTGGAATGTACAAACTAGCTGCAGATGAAATGAAAGGTCATTCACGGTCATAGAGTTGCTTTACAGAGCATTTTCAGCTGACGGACCAACCGCAACAGGTCGCCAGCACTGTATTTGAGCAGTGAGGGTAGCAGAATCGTACAGTACATCGGCGACCTTTGACCAATGTTGTACTGTACTGTAACGAGTTGCATGATTCACTGTTTGTTCAAATAAAGGACCTTACACAATCTACAGTACTAATCTAATGCATGTACCCTTGCCCACATAGGTCAACCTGTGATGAGGAATAAATTTATTCAAGAGAATCAACACTTTGACAATAACGGATCGTAAATAATGGCCTGTTCTTTCAATGGCTATTCCGTCAACCAAACATTCTCTGTGCCTTTGGGAAAATAACAATAATCGAATCATAAATCCATTTGCCCTTGACTTAGCCAGTTTTCGGGCTGGCTATGGCCTAGCAATCAGAGGTGTTTAGAACGTATCATTTTTGGGCCAAATTTTTACGGTATAGCATCCATGTATAGCTGCTGCATTATTGCTGCCATATCACCCGTGGATGACTCCCGATAAAGGCTTGTTCGGCGGATGATGTGTTCTTCCGGGCATCATTTGCACATGCGACTCAACCAGGCACCTGCGTTCAGATCATGACATCAGCTTCCCTACTTGATTCCCCTCTCAAAACGAACTTGCTGATCAGGTGATTGACGAAATTCATTTTCGCAATCGCACCATCATCTGCTCCTTGCGAGGCCTGCGGTGCGTGGAGCGGAACCAGCAACTAAGTTGTTCCTACCTAGCGAAAAGTCTTGATTTCGCCGATAACAAACCCCGCTACGCCTGACGCCCTATTGCTGCCTCCTGCTACTTGTGTTAGAGCACTCAACACCCCCCTTTTTGCAGCACCACTCCCACAATTTCCTAGCAGCCTCTTCTCATTTCCTGCTCACCATCAGCCGTTTCCCTCGCAAGACTACCACTTTGTTATTTTAGGAGCGCCGTAATGGTTTAGACAGCGCGAAGTGCGGTAGTGCCGCTGCTTCTGTTGGCGCTAATTCTGACGTCAGCATATGTCACTCCTGGTAAGGCCAGAACCTCAAAATAAGGCGATTCTGGTTCGCTCGAACGTTCTCGTCTTCTGTCTTCCAGCCAGCGCCCTCTTTGGTGTCTAGCAAGCACTGCTTGGAACAGAATACTAGGCAAGGTGCTCGAACATGGTAGTGTGCTCATGGTTGTTCGATGCCAATCATGTCCGATTTACCGTGCGTGCTGTGGGCGTTACTCGGCCAAACCGTTACTCGTCTGGCTGATTCAACTGTAAATCTTAGTTAAAAAATGAAAATGCTAGAAAACGTGTGTCTCAATTAAAATGTGATGTTGATTCGATTTCTGCGCAGCGTACTCGCGGCTCGTCTCCCATCGACGCAGTCTGGCCCTCAGGGCCCTCTCCCTCCTCAAGTCCGACTCCACTTCGTCGACAGATTCCGTCCAGGTGCCAGCGACCAACGTCAAAGTGGAAATCCTGACTGGTTCCGTTGTGAATGGGGTCGTCGTGGGGGGCGGTGTCATTGGTGAGGGGGAGGGTAACCTTACGGGGCCCTTGCCAGGAGGAGGAGATGGGGGTGCGGTAACAGTCGTGAGCACAGGAGCGCCGCCGCCCCCCCCGCCATGCGGAGAGCAGCAGGCTCCCCCCGCAGGCGGAGGGCAGGAGGCTCCCCCGACAGGCGAAGACCCGCAGGTTCCCCCAGGAGGCGTATATTAGTAGCGGGCCCGCAACAGCTCGGTATTGTGGTCCTTGTAGTATGTGCGTACGTGCAGCAGTGCGCGCCCTGTATTTCTATGATGGGCCTACTGTGGTTGGGCTGGGGAGTGTTATACTACGGCCCTACTACATTCCTCGGCATAGGCTGGTTTTGTATAGACGTCGACTGCGTATTGACTTCCATGTCGGTGCCGACTGCCGAATTGTGCAGTTATGGGAGTTGGCCCCTTAGAAACCTGGGTGCTAAAATTACCATGTACATTCTACGAAAATTGTCTAGATACGGTAAAGTCCATGTGTAGGTTTGCAACATTGCTTGGAGCATTTCAGAGAGCGCGGTACAGCAGCACAGGTATGGATGATTCTGGAACATCTAGACTAGTACCATACAAGCCTGAGGAAAGTGGCTTCCACGTGCTTGCAAGCGTGGCTCGTGAAGGACAAGACATATCACCAGAAGGTAACTAAATTAGTATTCAGAAATAACCTTCAAGTGATGTTTATTCCACCTGCAATAGCGGTTTTGTTTGAATGCTTCACGAACAGGCCCCACGTTATCAGGGCAAAACATCCTGATTACCCTGAATTCAGGATGTAGTTTTAAATTTACCCTGTCATTTCAGAATAGTGTAAATTTTAACTCTGAGGCCTCAGGATGTTTTTATATGAAATACCCTGAACATTCAGAATGGCTGTAGTGTTCTTCTCTGTAGCGTCAGGATGAATGCCGAGGCCTGCCCTGACGCGTTTTTTGGTGGAGGGAGGGGGGGGGGGGGGGGGGGGGGGGGTTGAGGGGGGAGTCCCGTGGCAAAATTGTCGGTAACCGCTGAATCAACCATCTAAACATCCAGAAATGGCCTAGGCAGTAGAAAGTTACTTCCGAGAGATGAGGTCTTCGGATTGAACCCTCCCCCGTGCAGGCATATCTGTAGCTTCAACCTGACTTGCCGACCAACTATTATGAACCCTGAACGCTTATATTTTTGCCCTGACAGGCCAGGATATTTTTTTGTAGAAGCCCTGAAATTACAGGAAGCCTCCGAAAAGTTGCCCTGACAAATCAGGGCATTTTTTCAGATTCTGGAAAGTTGCCCTGAGGCCTCAGGATGCCCCAAAACCTAGCACAGGCCTTGTTCACGAATGATATATCAGAACTCTTTGTCGGAACTGTACAAGTGCCAGGCGTGTAATGCGGCGCATGTGCATTCAGACCTGCGACTCCTCCAGGCACCTGGCATCTCGCCGTGACCATCGGCCGCAAATGTCGCTAAAGGTTTATCTTTTCGTCAAGCACCAGCGAAAATATCGCTAGTCGCTATTGTGTTCCGCGCTTCTGCGAAGCCTGCGGTGCGAAACCAACATTTCGCTTTGTCGGAAAAAAAGAGAGCCCAGAAACAACGGAATCCACAATGAAGTGGATTGCGCGAAGCGCGGCCGTGCCGCTGCTTCTGTTGGCGCTCCTTCTGACGTCAGCTTATGTCACGCCTAGTGAGTTCCGCACATGTCAGCTTTTCGCGAATACGAATGCCTTCGAGACGCTTGGCATTCCTTGCAGGCTCATTGCTCTGGTCTTGAAAAAACAACCCACGTGCTTGGCTCCGTTGTGAATGGGGTCGTATCGGGGCCGGCGTAATCGGCGAGGGTGTAAGTTTCGCACCTCATAAGGTGTCAAGCCTGATGGATCACGCTTGATTGGCGAGGGGGTGAGTTTACACCTCCGTCGCGGATCCGGCAAACGTTTCTGCCACGTGTACGACAGTCTCGCCTCATGCGAAGAGGTAAGTTACGCAATTCATAAGGTGTAGCTCCGGCAAGCGATCCCGCCACGTGCGCGCCTGTGGCACAGGTGAGTTACGCCCCTCACACGTCGCTCCTGATGATTCCGAACCCCGGACTCGCAATCTCAAACGACCAAAAAGCTCTTCGCATCTCTGGCATTCCACTGTGCTCTCGCGTTCATTGCTCAGCAAACGTTGCTGTTTCATGTGGTCACTGTTTGATCCTCCATTGTCACTGTTTCGATACCGTCGGGGATTGTGCGCCCGTGTCGCCGAGATTGGTAAAAGCCTAACTAGCGGTAGTAGTACCCAGGCAGGCCGTCGTATGCTAGACGAACTAATATGCCTTTTTTTTCCTATTCGTTTCTCTCTGCGCAGCGTACACGCGTTTTGTCCCCAGTCGACGCATTCTGGCCCTCAGGGCCCTCTCCCTCCTCAAATCCGCCTCCCGTTCGTCAATGGAAACGAAAATCGTCAACGCGCTGACGGTCCAGGGCGGAGGCGGAACGCAGCAGGTTTCCCCGGGAAGCGGAGAGCCGCAGGGTTCCCCGGCGGGCGCACCATTTGGCGCACCGTTTGGCGCACCGTTTGGCGCACCGTTTGGCGCACCTCTTGGCGCACCCTCTGGTTCGCCCTCTGGTTCGCCCTCTGGTTCGCCCTCTGGTGCACCCTCTGGCGGGAAACCTGGAAAGGGTGGCAAGGGAGGGAAGGGTGGGAAGGGAGGGAAAAGGGGGGGCGCACCCTCCGGTTCACCCTCTGCTTCACCCTCTGGTTCACCCTCTGGGTCACCCTCTGGTTCACCCTCCGGCGCACCCTCCGGCGGAAAACCAGCAAAGGGTGGCAAGGGAGGGAATGGAGGAAAGGGGGGGGGGGGGGGCCTCTGGTTCACCCTCCGGCGCACCCTCCGGAGGAAAACCAGCAAAGGGTGGCAAGGGAGGGAAGGGTGGGAACGGAGGAAAGGGGGGAGGCGCACCCTCTGGTTCACCCTCCGGTTCACCTTCCGGTTCACCCTCCGGTTCACCCTCCGGTTCACCTTCTGGTTCACCTTCTGGTTCACCTTCCGGTTTACCTTCCGGTTCACCTTCCGGTTCACCGTCCAGTTCACCTTCTGGTTCACCCTCCGGCGCACCATCTGGCGGGAAACCTGCAAAGGGCGGCAAGGGAGGGAAGGGAGGCAAGGGAGGCAACGGAGGGAAAGGAGGAAAAGGGGGCGCACCCTCTGGTTCACCCTCTGGTTCGCCCTCGGGTTCACCTTTCGGTCCACCCTCTGGCGCGCCCTCTTATTCCCCCTCTGGTTCACCCTCTGGTTCACCTTCCGGTTCACCTTCTAGTTCACCCTCTGGTTCACCCTCTGGTGCGCCCTCAAATTCACCCTCACCCTCTGGTTCATTTCCTGGTTCACCTTCAAGTTCATTCTCTGGTTCACCCTCTGGTTCATTCTCTGGTTCACCTTCTGGTTCATTTTCTGGTTCACCCTCTGGTTCATTCACAGGTTCACCCTCTGGTTCATTCTCAGGTTCACCCTCTGGTTCATTCTCAGGTTCACCCTCTGGTTCATTCTCAAGTTCACCCTCTGGTTCATTCTCAGGTTCACCCTCTGGTTCATTCTCAGGTTCACCCTCTGGTTCATTTTCAGGTCCACCCTCTAGTTCACCCTCTGGTTCACCCTATGGTTCGCCCTCTGGTTCACCCTCCAGTTCACCCACGGGCTCACCCTCTGGTTCATTCTGGTTCAGCCTCCCCTGACCTTTTCTCTGGTTCACTCTCTGGTTCACTCTCTGGTTCACTCTCTGGTTCACTCTCTGGTTCACTCTGGCACGAGGGGTGGGGAGAGGGGGGGGTGAGAAGGGAAGGGAGGGGGTACCGTTATCTACTCACAGCGAGGTGGGCGTTGCTGAAAGCTAGAAGGAAAGAGTGTGCTGTTCAAGGAACTGGAAATATTTAACTGTAATTTCATATTGAAAATGTTTTGGGCAAGTCTAAAAATATTGCACTTGTCATCCAGCAACAGGAATTAATGAATATTTTACCTCTCTTCAAATAACTTGTACATAGATATAGGCCAATGGCCAAGAGGACTGCCACTCTGCATGACTCTGTAGCGAGTATTCTCGGACCTAACCCCTCGTGCTGAGTTCCTCGATAGTTCATTCAGTTGCCGAGCGTCGTTCAGTAAAAAAATTCGCGTCGTTCCACCACTCGCCAGCGCCGTCGCTCTTCCTCGACGCAGCGATGGGTCCGCCCGGCGGCGATGCGGTAGCGGCGGCGGCGGAGAACACAAAGTGGCACAGCGCGCGAGAGAGGCAGACCGTTCTCGCCGTCGCTTCCGCCACCGCTGACGTCATCAGATCCCAGGGCCTGTCGCCGTCACCCACGGCGTACTTCGCGGCGCTTTTTTTCGGCATTAGAGACGGCAGAGTCGCTGAAATCCGCATTTGAAAGTCGAGGAGCGGCCGGCGCGGAGGTCCCGAAACCCCTCGATAAACCTGTGAACGGTCTAGATGCTGTCTTAGCGCTGCTGGATCTCGCGATCCCTCTCACGCCGGAGTCGATCGTACGGCTGAACGCAGCCCGGCTCCTGCCACTGCTAACTGCCGCCGTCGATCTTTGGGGGGCTACAAACGCAACCGGACCTACTAATAGCGCGGATAAGGTGGTAGGAGAAGAATTGATGGAGGAAGAGGACGAAGCTGGCAAAACGACAAAAAGCCCGGGCGGCAGTGTGGGCGGCACAGGGCAGGCGTGGGCGGAGGATCGGCGGAGGGTGGTTGCGGCGGCGGTGGATTGTCTGGGGTATGTGATTGCAGCGAGGGTTGCGGGCTGCGGCGACCCCAAGAACGCGTGGACGGCTGACGTGGCGGCGGGTTTTAAGGCGGTGTTGGATCACTCTGTAGCGAGTCAGCCGAAGGTGCGTTGCAATGGTCGGTTCTTGTCAGTTTCGAGTCGTTTTTTTAGTTCCTCTCCCCCCTTCTCTTCCTCTCTCCCCCCCAACAACCCCTCACCCCCACCCACCCCCACCCGAACCTTGCCGCGTAACGGCATCCTGCGTCTCACAACGGCAAGCTGAATTACTCGCATCATTGAGGGTTCGGGGTTTAACCATCTGATTCCACAATGCGGTCAGAGTTTTAGGGTTCGGGCTTCATATGGGCCAATCCTCTTACCGTCCTCTCTCTAATCCTCCCCGCTTCTCCCCCTTCCCTTCCCTCCTACCCTTGCCCTGCACCCCCTGTTCTCCCCTCACATTTCCTGCCCTGCCCTGCTCCCCCTTCCCTTACCCTTCCCGGCCCTTGCCGCTGCACCTACCCCTGCCCCTCTCCCCTGCCCTTCCGCCGCCCCGGCCCCTCTCCGCCCTCCCCCCCCCCTCCATCCCAACTTTGCCCCCTCTTGTCCACGTGCAGGTTCGCAGCGTGGCGCAATCCGCCCTCCTGAAGCTTCTCAGCACCTTCCGCGCCTCTCCCGCCGCCCTTGCCGCTGCCTCCACAGCACTCGTCGATTTCGCCGACGCCCTCATCGTCCGGGCGCTCGCTCCTTCCAAGCAGCTCGAACAGCCACGTCAGCAGCCACGTCAGCAGCAGCAATCGTTACAAGAGGCAGCTGCGACATCAGCGGCAGCAGTGCTCCGTTTCATCTCCTGCCTCCGCCCGCTGCTCCCGCTCCTCTCCCCTCCCTCCCTGCCACGTGTCACTCTCCGATTGGTCGAGCTTCTCGAGATTCGACACCCTCTTCTCGCCTGCCGTGTGCTGGACGCCCTCCACTCGCTTATGTCAGCTCCAGCCCCGGCCACGTCAGCTGCAACGTCACCCGTCTCTAAATCCCTCATTTCAGAGGTGGTGGCGCGATTGCTGAAGCAGGAGGGGGAGAGACAGGCGATGGGGGGAGGGGCGGGCGGCGGGTGGGGGGCAGGGGGCGGGGGAGGCGCAGGGGGGAGGGGGAAAACGGATGTAGCAGCGGTGCGCGCTCTGCTGGAGTGCGTGCGGGCGGCGTTGATTCGTCTGCATGCGATGGACGCTGAGGCGTGCGTCAGCCTGCTGCCGTCCACGTTCTTCACTCTCATTGGTCAGTTTCGTATGATTGTGCAACAGCATCATGGGTGGGTGTATGACCAAATAATGTCTTTAGGCTTTATGACTGTGGCCTCACTCCCATACATACCCACCTCCCTCCCTCTACCTACCTCCCTTCCCCCACCACCACGCCTCTCCCTCCCCTTTCCCACCACCAGACAACCTAGCGAGTGGGCACGAGGAGGTGGCATTCGCCACAGCGGACTGCTTCAAGGCGCTTATCTGCGCCTGCATATCCCTCTCCCACCTCCCTTCTCCCATCACCACCCCTCTCCCCCCCTCCCCTCCTCCTTCTCCCCAAACCAGACAACCTGGCGAGTGGGCACGAGGAGGTGGCATTCGCCACAGCGGACTGCCTCAAGGCGCTCATCTCCTCCTGCCTCGACGACATTGCTGTCGCCGCCTCTGCTGGCGTCAGGGTGGTGCTTCAATTCAATGCAGTGCTCTGCTGTTCCCATCATCCCCACCCCCCCCTCATAAACCAGACAACCTGGCGAGCGGGCACGAGGAGGTGGCGTTCGCCACGGCGGACTGCCTCAAGGCTTTAATTTCCACCTGCCTCGACGATGCTGCTGTTGCTGCCTCTGCCGCTATCGTGCAGCAGCGCCAGGCACAGGAAGGCGCAGGGGCGGAAGCAGGGGGAGCAGGGGGAGGGGGAGGGAAGGGGAAAGCGCCGGTGGAGCGGGTGTGTGTGGCAGTGGAGCGGGCGCTGGGGTATCAGTTCCGTGCCTCGTGGGACCTGTCGTTGCTTCTTGTGGCTACCCTCTTTGACCGCATCGGTGAGTCATGAGGCAGGGCAGAGTGAGGAGAGAGGAGAAGCGTGGCATGGAGGGAAGGAAGCAAGTCACGAGTGAGAGAAGGTGGCAAGGGGAAAGCGCCAGTGGAGCGGGTGTGCGTGGTGGTGGAGTGTGTGTGTGGCGGTGGAGTGTGTGTGTGGCGGTGGAGTGTGTGTGTGGCGGTGGAGTGTGTGTGTGGCGGTGGAGTGTGTGTGTGGCGGTGGAGTGTGTGTGTGGCGGTGGAGCGGTCGCTGTGTACCAGTTCCGTGCGTCGTGGGACCTGTCTCTGCTGCTCTCTTTGACCGTATTGGTAAGTCGTTACCAACACGGGACGCGGGACGCGAGGGGAGCCGCTATGGCCCCCCAACGCTTCCGCGGCACTACTGTCCGCTCAACCACCTCTCCTTTCCTCCCCGCCCCCGCTTCCCCCCCTGCCCCCACTGTCCCGTCTCTCTACCCCCAAACGCAGGTCCCTCCTCCCACCTGTTCCTCGCGCCAACCCTCACCACGCTGGCTGATTTACACGACTTACCAGACACAGAGATGGCTCACCGCAAGCACCTGCACGCTGCTCTCGGCGCTGCTGTTGCCGCCATGGGTCCCTCCCGCTTCCTCTCCATCCTCCCCCTTGGCCTCGACCCCGAACCTGCTCCCGCACCTGCTGCCGGACCTAGTGCTGCAGCAGCAGCAGGAGCAGGAGGAGCGGCTGCAGCATCAGCCAATCCCGCGGCGCCACGTGTCTGGCTGCTGCCAATCCTGCGCCGGCACACTGCGGGCGAGTCGCTCTCCTTCGTCCTCACCGCCCTCCTCCCCCTCTCCCACCGCCTCCTGCTCGCCGCCCAGCAAGCCCGCTCGCCCCAGGTCGACCGGCCAATCGCGGCCAAGCAGCTGGCGGCGCTGCGGGCGGCGGTGTGGTCGCTGCTGCCAGCTGTCGCCAGCCTGGCGCCCGACACTGCGCAGGTGGGGGGATACGGGTGGGAAGAGAGGAGGTGGGGAGCGGGAGAGACGTGGGGGGATGGTGGGTGGAGTAAGCAGGGGGGAGGTGATTGAGAGGAAGGGGCAGTTGGGAGGAAGGGGCAGTTGGGGGAGGTGGGGAGGTGGGTGACTGGATTGGATTGAGGGATGGGAGTTTTTTTGACAGAAGCACTGCCGTCAAATCCTTACCTGATTTCCTTCCTTTCTCCCCCCTTTTTGGATACTCCCCAACTGCATTGATTCGCGTGCAGGTGTTTCCGCACTTAGCTAAGCACCTGGCGGAAGCAGTGGCAGCAGGAGGGAAGGGCGATGAGGGCGATGGAATCCGGTCTGCAGTCTGTGTCACCCTGCAGGTAACGCGAGTCTCTAACGAGTCTCTGTTTTGTTTATCAAATTCTCTCTAGCCTGCGTTTTTTGAGTCGACTGGAATCCGGTCTGCAGTCTGTGTCACCCTGCAGGTAAAGCGAGTCTCTCTCTCCAATCTGCTTTTGTAACCTTACCACCCTCTGTGTCCCTCTCCAGACTAGTTTTTGCCCGCTCTGTGCCCATCTCCTCGTGCTTGAAGAAGTGTTTTGAGACGTCTCAAAGCTCGCACGTCGTCTCAAACACGTCGCTCTGTGCCCATCTCCTCGTGCAAACTCGCACCTTTCCCATCCCGTCACTTCCCCCCACCCACTCGTCACCTCCTCCCCTTCTTCCACTCTTCCCTCCCCCCTCGTCCCCTCTGTGCTCCGTTCCTTCCACCAGCTCATGGTGGACCAGAACCGCATGGCCATAAGTCGCGTGCCCCTCACCAAGTGCAAGAAAATACCCACATACCCATCCCCCTTCACCTCCTTCCCTCCTCTCCCCCCTACCCCCACCAGCTCATGGTGGATCAGAATCGCATGGCCATGGGTCGCCCGCCCCTCTCCAACATCTAGCAACACCCAGCAACCCCCTTACCCTCCAACCGCCCCCATCCCTTCTCCCTCCCCTGTCCCTTCTCAGCTCATGGTGGATCAGAACCGCATGGCCATGGGTCGTCCGCCCCTCTCCAAGCGCCTCACAGCCTTTGATGGCCTCTCAGGTGCTCCCACCACCGCCCTTGCTGCTGCCATCACGGACAGTGCTGCTTCTGACTCTGCTGGAGCGGCTGCTGCTGCTTCCTCTGCAGCACCTGAAGCAGAAGCAGCGTTCCGGGCGGCACTAGAGGACGACGACGACACCACCGACGCCGAGCGCCGCGCGTGGCGCCAGCTCACCGCTGACGTGGCAGCCGCCAACCTGGCGGCCATGTCAGCATCGGCGCGTCCCTTCCTCCCGATGCTGTTTGACGCGTTCGTGGCGGCCCCATCAGCCAAGAGGGGCGAACTTCAGAGCGCCATCGGGGCTCTCGCTGCTGTGGCTGACCCGGCGGCCCTTCGACTGTTCTTCACCAATATCCTGAGCAAACTGCTCTCCGCTACAAATGCTGCTGCCTCTGGTGGAGCAGCATCAGGAGCCGCAGGGGGGGATGCGAGCAAGGAAGCTGGAGAGAAGAGGTGAGTGGGGGTGAATGAATGACTGCTCTTCACAAATACTATGAACAAATTGCTCTCCGTTACACAGGCTGTTGCTGGTGGTGGTGCTGCCATGCTGGTGGGGCAGCAGGAGCAGGGGATGCGAGCAAGGAAGGTGGAGGCTATAGGTGAGTGAGAGGGGTTTTTGACTTTTGAGACGTCTCAAAAGCTGGAGGCTATAGGTGAGTGAGAGGGGCGATCAGGACTGATCTGAGCTCCCCCTCCCCCCTCTCTCTCGGCAGGAATGCTGCCGTGCGTTGCACAAACAGCAGGCGTCATCTTCCGTATGTGTTTTGCCCTTCCCAACCCCCCAGGGCCATGCTGATGGATCTATCGCTCTCCCTGCTACCTGGCTTGGACGTGGAGTGCTGCCGAGCGCTCTACAACGCAACGAGGCCTGCCATCCAGGACAAGTCGGCTGCCGTGCAGAAGAAGGCTTACAAGCTCCTCGCATCACTGCTTGAGGTATGGATTGCCATGCCATTACCACCACCGTCACCACCATCATCACCACCACCACCATCACCATTCAGGATAAGTCGGCTGCCGTGCAGAAGAAGGCATACAAGCTGCTCGCATCGCTGCTTGAGGTATGCTCTTTTATGCGAGGTTCCGCTGCCTCGTAAAGCCTCGTGACAGGCCCTGCGAGGGGCCTGTGCCATCTCTCTTGCTCCTGCTCTACTCCTGTTCCTGCCCCTGCCATCTCCCATACCTGCAGATTTATTTACCCAAACTCCTGAACCAGAAATCGGAGGCTGTTGCAGGAGCAGCAGCAGAAGCAGAAGCAGGGGCAGGGACAGGGGGAGAGGCGTGGTGCACTCGCTGTCTCGCCACTACCGCACACCTTGCCCCCCTCTCGCCTTCTTCCTGTTTCCTCCCGTATTACACCCTTTCCTTACCCGCAGACTCACCCAGAGCTCCTGAGCCAGCAATCAGAGGTCGCAGCAGGAGGAGCAGAAGGGGCAGCAGCAGCAGGGAGAGGCGTGTTGGCAAGGGCGGTGTTGCAGGAGGTGCTGGTGGGAGTGGGACGGGTGCACTCGTCCATACCTCTTCCGTTTCCTCCCATCTTCCACCCACCCCGTCCTGAAGTGCAGACCCACCCAGAGCTCCTGAGCCAGCAATCGGAGGCTGTGGCAGGAGCAGCAGGAGGAGGAGAAGCAGCAGCAGGGGGGGGCGTGTCAGCAAGGGCAGTGTTGGAGGAGTTGCTGATGGGCGTGGGTGGGGTGCACTCGCCGTCTCGCCACTACCGCATGAAGAGCCTGTCAGCCGTGCTGCTGCATCTGGCTCATTCCGATGTCCCCGCTTTTCACGAGGCAGTGGCTGCCACTCTCACTGAGATTGTGCTGTCCGTGAAAGAGGTGAGGAGGCGGGGTGGAGGTAGGTGGTGAGAGGGATGAGAGGGAAGGAGAGGGATGGAGGCATTACCGCATGAAGAGCCTCTCAGCCGTGCGGCTGCATCTGGCTCGCTCCGATGTCCCGGCGTTCCATGAGGCAGTTGCGGCCACGCTCACTGAGATTGTGCTGTCCGTGAAAGAGGTGAGGTGATGGCTTTAACACAAGATCAAGCAGCATTACGGCATCAAGAGCCTGTCAGCCGTGCTGCTGCGTCTGGCTCGTTCTGATATCCCGTCCCGCTCACTGAGGTTGTGCTGTCCGTGAAAGAGGTGAGGAGGAGGGGGGGGGGGGGGGGGGGGTTGGGGAAGAGGGAACAAGAGGCAAGGGGTTGGCTTCACGGCACTACCCCGTCTCGCCACTACCGCATGAAGAGACTGTCAGCCGGGGTGCTGCACCTGGCTCGCTCCAATGTTCCTGCGTTTCATGAAGCAGTGGCTGCCACACTCACTGAGATTGTGCTGTCCGTGAAAGAGGTGAGGTGATGGTTTGAACACACTAATTGATCCAAGAGCCTTCCAATCTCATTGTGCTGCTGCAACTCACGCTCTTCTCACACACTCGCTCTTTCTCCCTTCCCAGGTGAACCGCAAGGCCCGGGATGCAGCCTATCAGCTCATCATAGCTCTCGCCAAGGAGATGCAGCGACTGGCAGACGAGCAGCACGAGCAGAAATTCTTGGCGGCTGGAGGGATCATGTACGGCGGCTTCAGTGGCGATCAGTCCATGGATGGTGCTGGTTCCGCTGATGATGATGATGCCGATTCACCCTTCCTCAAGTTCTTCACCATGGTTCGTTCGTTCCCTCGTTTCTCGGAGTTCCTTTTCTCGATTCACCATTCTCTTTGTGCGCGAAAAAGCCGGAGACTTTTGAGTCGACTCACAAGTCAAGGCTGGTACTGCTCACAACCGTATGGTTTCCCCCCCTCTGCATCTGCTTGCCCCCTTTCCTTGCACCTCTCACAGGTGATGGCAGGGCTAGCCAGCAGCACCCCGCACAGTCAGAGTGCAGCAGTCATGGGCCTTGCTCGCTCGCCTCATTCCTGCACCCCATGTCATCGCCCATATATGCTTATGCTCCCTCCCTGCTCCTCTCCCTTGCACCTCTCACAGGTGATGGCAAGGCTGGCCAGCAGCACTCCACACGGGCAGAGTGCAGCAGTCATGGCCCTCGCTCGCCTCATCTTCCACTTCTGCTCCTCGCTGCTCCACCTCGTGCCCTCGCTGCTCCCCTCGCCCCCTGCTCCGCTTTCTGCTCCCTTTGCTAATCTGATTTATGCCCCTCTCTTTAGCCTCCTTTTGCTCCTTGCTTGTGGTTTCTCCCTTTCACACACCCCTCTTCCAGGTGATGGCAGGGCTAGCCAGCAGCACCCCGCACGGCCAGAGCGCAGCAGTGATGGCCCTAGCTCGCCTCATCTTCCACTTTTCCTCCTCGCTCCTCCACCTCGTGCCCTCGCTCCTGCCATCGCGGCTCCCCTTGCTCCTCTGATTTATGCCCCTCCTTTCCCCTCCCTCTGATCTTTTTGCTTGCGGTTTCTCTCCCTCCCTCCCCCCCTCCCTCTCTTCCCCCCCTTTCTCCTCGGGTGTTTACAGGTGATGGCAGGGCTAGCCAGCAGCACCCCGCACGGCCAGAGCGCAGCAGTGATGGCCCTGGCTCGCCTCATCTTCCACTTCTCCTCCTCGCTGCTCCACCTCGTCCCCTCGCTCCTCCCGTCCCTCCTCCTCCTCTTCCGCTCGCCGCACCGCGACGTGCTCAAGGCGTGTCTGGGCCTGGTGAAGGTGCTATCTGTGCGCCTGGAAACTGCTGACCTGGAGGCTCACCTGCCGGCGATCATGAGTGCTCTGCTGTGCACGAATGAAATCGTTGCAACCAGGTTCAAGGCCAAGGTATGATCATGAATGCTCCAGGCGTGTCTGGGCTGGGCCTGGTGAAATGCAATTTGGTTCAAGGCCAAGGTAATGATATGGAGTGGAATGCTTTGAGACGTCTCAAAAGACTTCTTCAAACACGTGAAATGCAACCCGGTCCAAGGCCAAGGTAATGACATGGAGTGGAATGCTCAAGCGCTGCTCCCTGCTCCCTGCTGCCTGCTGCCTTCACCCTGCTGCCTGCTTACTGTCAGTCCTACCCATTCTCTATCCCTTCCCCACCCTCCCCCCCACTCTCGTCCCCCCCTCAGGTGCGCAAGATAGTGCAGCGGCTGGCGAGGCGATGCGGCCATGCGACGGTGGCAGCAGTGGTGCCGGAGGAGCATCAGCGCCTGCTCACACACATCCGCAAGGTGGGTGGGTCTCTTTCAGGGCGGACAGGTGAGTCTCAGGGCTAGTATCCTTCTATGTGCTGCTGCCGCCCTGCCGTGCAACGGTGGCGAGGTGACTTTTGAGTCGACTCAAAAGTCACCTCAAGGCTAGTATCCTTCCGTGTGCTGCTGCCGCCCTGCCGTGCAACGGTGGCCGGAGCAAAGGGGGGGATGGACAGGTGCCTTGGCTACTTACTCATTTCCTCCTCGTGTTCCCCCTTCCGGTTCCCCTTGTGTGCTGCACCGTTTCAACCCTATTCTGTGGCAGGAGGTGGCCCGAGCAGCCAAGGCCAAGGAGAAGAAGCGTGGTGGAACGGGGGAAAAGGGTGGGCTGGGGGGCGGGTTGTTGTAACACTCTCTCATTTGCCCCTCGTTCCTCCTTCTATCTCCTATTCTGTGGCAGGAGGTGGCCCGAGCAGCCAAGTCTAAGGAGAAGAAGCGCGGAGGAGCAGGGGCGAAGGGCTCGCAGGCAGGGGATGGGGAGGAGGGGGGAGAGGGGAGGTCGACCATGTCGGGCAGAAGCAGGGCGAGGTGAGTGGTGGGGTGTAGGGTTCCCGTGGGGGGGGGTTGGGAGTGAGGGGGCGAGGAGTGGTGTGGTGTAGGGTTCCCGTTGCTGGATTAAGTCGACGTTTTGTTTAAACTGGCTCTCTAAGACAACGCTCTAAGCTCACAGTTAACCGGGAAATCCATCCATCCCATGGGGTTTGTCTCGTCGTTTTAAATCACCATACAAGTTGATGGACGTAAGGCCTCCGCAGCCCACCTGTCTGCGTTCAACAGCAGGGCCAGGTGAGTGGTGTGGTGTAGGATTCCCGTGGGGGGGGGGGGTTGGGAGTGAGGGGGCGAGGAGGGGGCAATTCTGTCCTCCCAATGCATCTGTCTTCACTCTTTTCCCCCTCCGCTTGTACCCTCTTCCCTCTTACCTCTTCCTTCTGCCCTCTTACCTCTTCCTTCTGCCCTCTTACCTCTTCCTTCTGCCCTCTTACCTCTTCCCTCTGCCCTCTGCCCTCTTTACTCTTCCCTCTTCCCTCTCATTTTTCCCTGTGCCGCAGAACGAGCGACTGGAGCCACTCCAACCTCTTTTCCGACACGTCAGCGGACGGCGATTTCAGCGATGACGAGGATTACAGCGATGCTGACGAGGATGAACGCAGCGTGTTCGGCGGCAAATCACGCGCCGCCAAGTCAGCATCCCGCCAGGACGGGTCAAAAAAGTCTGCGTGGTCGAACGCGCTCTCGTCCAGGTGTGCTGACGTGGCATGGGGTGTGGCATGGGGTGGGCAATGGGTTGGGGCATGTGGTGTGGTTCTGTAGGTGTGGGTTCTTCTCTTCTCTTGGTAATTGCAGCTGATGGCAATGTATGTTGTATGCCAGCCCATCTCTCCCAATGCAATCCTGCTTCCTGTGCTTTCTCTTTCTCCCATTCCGCCTTGTTGCCCACCTTGCATACTCCCACCCACACCACTCCCACCCTTTCCCGCTCCCTACGGAGCGGGCAAGAAGGCGCAGCACAGCAGGCCACAGCTGCACAAAAGCAGTTGCTTTGGTCTTCTCTATGTGCTCCGTCACTCTCTCATCTCACACTCTCTCCCCTCTCCCACACTCACCCTCCTCCCCCCCCCCTCCCTCCTTCAGGGCAAGCAAGAAGGCGCAGCACGGCAGGCCGCAGCTGCACGAGCGGATCACGGAGACAGGTGGCGACACGCCATTGGACCTGCTCGATCTAGCAGGCACACGCCGGGCCCTCTCTGCCCCCCTGCTCAAGCCCACCCGCGGGACTAATTCTTCTGCTGCTGGGGGTCGTACTGGTGCTGGTGGTGGTGGTTCGAAGCGGCATCGTGATGGGGATGGGGAGGAGGAAGGGGGGGATTCGGGATTCGAGTATACAGAGGATGGAAAGATAGTTGTTCCAGATGAGACCGAGGGGGGAGAGGGTGGTAGGGGTGGGGGGAGTGGGAGGAAAGGAGGAACCAGGAAGGGTGTGGGCGCAGGGGAGGATGACGGAGAGGGGAATTTGGACTATGGGGTAATGGAGGATGATGACGTGGCGATGGGCGATGCCAGCCTGGCATCTGCGAGGGCCGCTGAGCTGGCGTTTGGCCGTCGTGTCCGCGGGGCGCGAGGTGCAGGAGGAGGAGGAGAAGGGGGAGAAGAGAGAGGGGGTGCTGGTGCTGGTGGTGGTGGTGGTGGGAGGAAAAAGGCCAAGGCCAATTCTGGCCAGGCCATTCCTTCTGGTAAGGATAAACGTGGCGGGAAGAAGCAGACTGGTAGTGGTAGTGGGTGGTCTTATACAGGGGATGAATATGCCGCAGGCAGCGGGCGGCGTGCGGGCGGCGATGTGAAGAAGGAAGGGAAGCTGGAGCCTCACGCATACTGGCCGTTGGATGCAAAGATGCTCAATCGGAGGGCTGGGAAGCTTGCAGCGGCACGGAGGGGAATGACCAGTGTGATGGGGGCGGGGGGGAAGAAGGGGGGAGGGGGATCGGGAGGGGGAGGAGGAGCAGGAGGAGGGAAGGGTGGGGCGGGGAAGAAGCAGCACAAGGGGCACAAGGGGAAGGGGAAAGGAAAGGCGTAGGGTTAGAGGGAGTGAGCATGGATCCAAGGCCTTGAGCTTTGGCTGTGGCGTGGGCATGAGTGTGTGTGGGCTATGTGGCACAGCCCCCAGTCATCCCCACCCAGTTTCATCCCTCTAGCCCCCCTGTGGCGGTTCACAACACAGCTGGCTGTGTCCTGCCCTGCCGGCCCTCCTCGTAGGGCCACCTTCATGGATTCATACACCATTGTGTATGTGAAGTGGAAGTACCAGTAGTGCTGGTTGCTGGCTGGGTCTAGGATTCAGTCATGTTTTTAGTAGAAACATTGCATTGCAGTAGATTAGCCTGTCAAGGTTTTGGGGCAGGCTGAAAAGAACAGAAAAGGTTTAATTTGAGAGGGTACGTTTCAGTCTAGTGTGCAGTGTAATACGGTATGTTAAAGACCATAATAATGTCAAATGTTGTAGCCTGTAGTGAGGTTTGTCTTAGGGGGTACAAAAGTTAGGGTTTGTCATATGTACCCCAATCAACATCAATGCAACCACCATTCCTCATTCTGACATGGTATCAGCTAGGTTAGGATCCTGTGGGATCCCGTTCCTCCGTTCTCCGTTCGTACCTCCCGAGCCTGATCCTACCCCTCGTTCGTACCAGTTCCGTTGTTACCGCGCCTAGTACCGAGCCTAGCGCCCTTTCCCCCGTCGCTTAGCGCCCTTTCTACCCGTCGCCTAGCGCCCCCCCCCCCCCCCCCCCCCCCCCCCCCCCCCCCGTCGCGTCGCGCCCTTTCCCCCCGTCGCGTCACGCCCTTTCCCCCCCGTCGCGTCGCGCCCGTTCCCCCCGTCGCGTCGTGCCCGCCTGTTCCCCCCCCGTCCCGTCGCCCTGTCCCGTCGCGTCGCCCTACCCCGTCGCGTCGCCCTGCCCCGTCCCGTCGCCCTGCCCCGTCGCGCCGCCCTGCCCCGTCGCGTCGCCCTGTCCCGTCGCGTCGCCCTGCCCCGTCGCGTCGCTCCCGCCCTTTCCCCCGTCGCGTCGCCCTGCCCTACGCCCTGGCCCGTCGCCCTGCCCTAAGCCCTGGCCCGTCGCCCTACCCTAGGCCCTGGCCCGTCGCCCTCCCTAAGTCCTGGCCCGTCGCCCTACCCTAGACTCTGGCCCGTCGCCCTACCCTAGGCCCTGGCCCGTCGCCCTACCCTAGGCCCTGGCCCGTCGCCCTCCCTACGCCCTGGCCCGTCGCCCTACCCTAGGCTCTGGCCCGTTGCCCTCCCTAAGCCCTGGCCCGTCGCCCTACCCTAGGCCCTGGCCCTTTGCCCTACCCTACGTCCTGGCCCGTCGCCCAAGCCCGCTCTTCCGCTGCGACTGAGTCCTCTTCTCCCCCGGTTGTTACTCGCCTGTTCGTTCGCTTTAGTCTAAACTATGGCGACTCCGCGAGTTCTTCGTTTCGACGCTGACGGTAGACCCCTTGACTTTTCCGTCTGGCTTCTTCGCGCTCGCCGTCTGTTAGAGAGTCAGGTCCAGGGGGGCGAGACCCTCTGGTCACACGCTACTGGTGACCTCCCTGAGCCCCCCGAGCCTACAACTTTAGGCCCTGCTCCTGACGACGCTGCTACGGCTCGCTTTGCCCGTCAGCGCGCTGACCGGACGGCTTGGACGTCGCGTGACGCTGCGGCCTGCATCGCACTCAGCAGCCTCCTCCCTGAGTCCGAGGAGGTCCACTTTACTCAGGTTCGCACCGCTGCTGCGTACCTCACTGCGATTAAGGCCCGCTACTCTACTCCCGCTACTGTCTCTCTCGGCCGTCTTTTCCTCCCGTTCCTGTTTCCTGATCTTGCCTCGTTTGAGCGCTCTGCTGACTTGATCGCTCACCTCCGCTCGCTCGACGCTAGTTACCGCGCTGCTTGCACTGAGGCACAGCTTACACTGCTTCCTCCCCCCATGGCGATCACTGTCTATTTCATCGCCACTAGCCTCCCTGACCGCCTTGCCTCCGTTCGTGACGCGCTTCTGCTGAAGCACCCTAGTGAGCTGACTATCGAGGTCCTTGAGTCTGCACTCAAGGACGTCGAGAGCAACCTTCGTTCGGTAGCTGCCGCCTCTGATACTGTGTCCCCCCCACTCTTCCACGGGTGCACAGTCCCGCAGTTACCCACCTTCACTGCCTCTCTTGCCACTGCCGCTACTGACGCGACTGCGGCTGCTGTTACGACTGCGTCGCGGTCCCGCGGCAGGGGGGGCAAGAAAGGTGGTTCTGGTGGAGGTGGAGGCGGAGGTAGCGGAGGTAGTGGGGGTGCTGTTGCGACTGGGGGTGGTGGGAGTGCAGCGTCTGGAGAGACCCCTCGTGCAGCGGCTGGTGACTCCACTGCACCTGCTGGTGGCGGCGACCCCCGAGCTCGTCAGTCGCCTCCTGTACTGCCGGCCCCGCTAGGTGGAGCAGCGGCGTGGTACCAGGCTCAGCGTCAGCAGCACCTTCAGCAGCAGCAGCAGCCCCTTTCCTCCCAGCAGCCTCAGCAGCAGCAGCGTCAGCAGCTGGCTCCGGGGTCGGGGCTGCGTCAGCCCCAGCGCGGTGCGGCTTACCCTCCCTGCCCCTACCAGGTTCAGACAGGTCCTCGTCGGGGCCACCCTTGTGGCCGATTTCACCCCCCTGGTCAGTGCTTTGCTCAGCTCACTGACACGGTCCGGTTGACCTACGGGGTTGGCGGTCCTGCTCCTGACTGGCTTCCTCTGGTTCAGCGCTACGGCTCCGCTCTGTGGGGCATGTCTGCTGAGCAGTTAGTTGATCTGATTAGTGCTCCTCATGCTATGTATGCTGTTGTTGACTCTAGTGTTTCTGACTCTGTTTACTCTGGTGTTGTTAGCTTAGGTGCTAGTCTTGCTCAGTTGCCTGTTGCTAGTGTAGGTACTTGTGTAGACTCTAGACCAGCGACTACCTCAGGGGACGCTTCGCTGTCGTTCACACTGGACTCTGGAGCCTCCCACTGCTTCTTCCGGGACAGCACGACACTTACACCACTTCCTGCGCCTGTTTCTGTAGCGTTGGCTGATCCCACTACGGGACCAGTCACTGCACGTCACACTACCACTTTACCGTGTCCTGCTGCTCCCTCCGGGTCTCTCACTGGGTTTCACGTCCCCTCGTTCTCCCGGAACTTGGTGGGCGTGCGACCCCTCGTGAGTCAGCACGTGGGTGTGTGGTTTGAGCCTTCTGGAGAGACTGCGGTGTGTGTTGTGTCAGATTTATATGACATAGTTGATGTAGGCTATACTGGGGTAGCACATATGGGGTACAGGTTTCTAGGGTTGTATTTGTACCACATCTTTCCTTAGTCATTCCATTCCTCTCTCAACTCAACATGGTATCAGAGCATCCGGGTCTCCCTCAGGGGCAACAAGCATGGACACAAGATGGGGCAAAGCGGCGGTGGAGGTGGCGGTGGCGGTGGGGGTGGTGGCGGTGGCGGCGGAGGAGGCGGCGGAGGGGGCGGCGGAGGTCGTGGCTCGTCGCGGAGGAGTGGCTCCGGTGGTGGTCAGCGCCAGCAGCAGCAGCGTGGTCAGGAGACCCTCTCCCCGCAGCAGCTCCGTGAGTGGTACGCTGCACGTCAGAGGGGTGGGGGTACTGGTCCGTGCACCTACGTCCTGCGCACTGGCGACCGTGCGGGTGAGCAGTGTGGTGGTCCTCACTCCGTTCAGCGCTGCTTCGGCCGCCTGACTGACGCTTGGCACCGCCAGTTTCCTGACGCCTCTGAGATCCCTCGCTGGGACCAGCTGTCTAGGGCAGGAGTAGCTATCTTTGATCTTGACTTTGATGCTATTCTTCGTGCCATGTATGCTGTGACTATTAGTGAGGAGGGTGACTGTTACCGGTGTTTCCCGCCCGACCCGGGCATTGGTACTGCGGCTCTAGGTGCTGTTGCGGCTGCTGCTCCAGGTGCTGGTGAGGCTGTCGCTCTAGGTGCCAGTGAGTCTGTGTCCTCAGGTGCTGGTGAGTCTGCTCTCTCAGGTACTGCGTCGGCTCCGCCCTCTCTCACCTTCACTCTTGACTCTGGGGCGTCTCGCTCCTTCTTTCGAGACCGCACCGCACTCACGCCGCTCAGTCGGCCAGTGGCGGTCTCCCTGGCGGACCCCTCTGGGGGTCCTGTTCTGGCTCGCTACTCCACTGTCCTGCCGTGCCCTGCGGTCCCGTCCGGCGCCCTGTCCGGTCTCTACCTCCCCTCGTTCTCTACGAACTTGGTGGCGGGTGCTGACCTACAGGATGCAGGGGTTGACCAGTTCACCCCTGCGCGCCGACGGGATACCCACTGCACGGACGCGGACACGGGTCGACACTTGACCACGTTCACACGTGGGCCGGGGTCGAGCCTGTACACACTCACTGTTCCGTCTCCTCCTCCTGCGTCTGGTCAGGTAGCAGCGTCGGGCCAGGTGTTTGCTGCAGCGTCCAGGTCTGGTCCTGAGTCTGCCCCCTGCTCGTGTCGCCTCCTGTCTCACGAGACCCTCCTGTGGCACCACAGGATGGGTCACCCCTCCCTGCCTCGTCTCCGGGGCATGGCCTCTCGCCTTCTTGTCTCTGGTCTTCCTCGGTCCCTCCCTCCCCTTCCTCCGGGGCCTGGTCCTCCCTGTGTCCCCTGTGTCGAGGGTCGCCTGCGGGCTACCCCTCACTCCTCCTCCTTTCCTCCGACGGAGGCCCCGATGCAGACGCTTCACATGGACGTGTGGGGCCCAGCCCGCGTCCGTGGACAGGGTCACGAGCGCTACTTCCTGCTGGTGGTTGACGACTACTCGCGTTACACCACGGTCTTCCCCTTGCGCAGCAAGGGTGAGGTCACTGAGGTGTTGATCGACTGGATCCGCGCAGCTCGTCTCCAGCTCAGGCGGAGCTTCGGCTCGGACTTTCCTGTTTTGCGTCTGCACTCGGACAGAGGCGGAGAGTTCTCCTCCGGCCTTCTGCGAGCCTACTGTCGTGCACGAGGCATCCGCCAGACCTTCACGCTTCCGGACTCTCCACAGCAGAATGGGATTGCTGAGCGCCGCATCGGCATTGTCATGGATGTCGCCCGTACGTCCATGGTGCATGCGGCTGCCCCCCATTTTCTGTGGCCGTTTGCGGTGAGGTACGCCGCGCACCAGATCAACCTTCAGCCCAGGGTCTCCAGACCGGAGACCTCCCCAGCTCTGCTGTGGACGGGGAAGGTTGGCGATGCGTCGGCGTTCCGTGTCTGGGGATCTCGGGCGTTTGTCCGCGACTTGTCTGCGGACAAGCTGTCCCCTCGTGCTGCTCCTTGCGTCT